ATGTATTCACTAAATGGGGAACGTTCTTTGCTAGCAACCCTGGGATGACTTTAATAGCCGGAGCTTCCCTGGTTGCGATTTTGGGATATGGAATCAGCTTTATTGAAATTACGACGGATCCGGTTAAACTTTGGGCGTCGCCGAATTCTAAGTCCAGATTGGAAAGAGATTTTTTCGATACCAAATTTTCACCATTTTACAGGATTGAACAGGTAAACTATTAGTTGCAAGTCAAAATTGCAATACGAAATCTATTTTATTTTGTATGGCAGATAATAATCAAAGCGGTGAACTTGCCTCAAATTGTTCACAATACTTCAAACGGACCTTATACCTTCGGCCCTGTGTTTGATAGAGACTTTCTAACTGAGGTGTTAAACCTCCAAGAGAGCATAAAGCAAATCAACGCCAGTGGCACAATGTTAAAGAATATATGCTTTGCCCCCTTATCAGACGACGGTAGTGAAATCGATGTGTCAAAATGCGTTGTTCAATCGATTTGGGGATACTTTAGCGATGATCCATCAAGATTGGATGACAACGATGAGGATCATGGATTCAATGTAAGTAAAATAAATTTAAATATTTCTTGTTAAACATAAACACAGTTTTTGTCATCAATTTATAGGTAACCTATTTGGATAGCTTATACGATTGCATAAGTAATCCGTATTTATGCTTGGCACCCTATGGTGGTCCAGTAGATCCAGCAATAGCTTTTGGTGGCTTTCTACCGTCTGGAGACCAGTTGACAGGCAGCACAAAATACGAGTTAGCCAATGCTCTGATTTTGACATTCTTGGTCAAAAATCACCACAATAGAACCGATTTGCAAAATGCCCTAACGTGGGAGAAAGAGTTTGTAGAGTTTATGTCTAACTATACCAAAAACAACAAGTCGGCGCATATGGACATAGCTTTCACTTCAGAGAGGTCGATAGAAGATGAACTTAATAGAGAGTCTCAGTCAGATGTTTTAACTATTTTAGTATCCTACCTAATAATGTTCATGTACATTGCGATATCGCTGGGACATGTTAAAGAATTTAAAAGAGTGTTTATCGACAGTAAAATTACCCTTGGTATAGGTGGTGTCATTATTGTATTAGCCTCAGTAGTTTCCTCCGTTGGCATTTTCGGGTACATCGGCTTGCCGGCTACCTTGATTATTGTGGAAGTTATACCCTTTTTAGTATTAGCTGTCGGAGTGGATAACATTTTTATCCTTGTCCAAACTCACCAGCGCGATCAACGCGACCCAAATGAAACGCTCGAGCAGCAAATAGGTCGAATACTCGGTCGTGTCGGACCAAGTATGCTACTCACTTCCTTGAGTGAAAGCTTTTGCTTCTTCCTTGGTGGCCTTTCTGATATGCCTGCAGTAAGGGCTTTTGCCCTCTACGCGGGGGTAGCCCTAATCATTGACTTTTTATTACAAATAACTTGTTTTGTAAGCTTATTTACTTTAGATACCAAACGCAAGGAGGAAAATCGAATGGATATTTGTTGTTTTATTAAAGGAAAAAAAACAGATAGTATAGCAAACAATGAAGGTCTCTTGTACAAATTTTTCAGTAGTGTTTATGTTCCCTTCTTAATGAAGAAAACTGTTCGAGCAGGTGTAATGGTCATCTTTTTTGCGTGGCTATGTTTCAGTATTGCCATTGCACCAAAGATTGACGTTGGGCTGGACCAAGAACTGGCTATGCCACAGGATAGTTTTGTTTTACATTATTTCCAATCGTTAAACGAGAATCTCAACATTGGACCACCAGTGTACTTCGTCCTTAAAGGTGATTTAGTTTATACAAATAGTTCGGATCAGAATTTAGTGTGTGCAGGTCAACATTGCAACGATGACAGCGTTTTAACGCAGATTTACTTAGCTAGTAGACACTCAAACCAAACATATATCGCTCGTCCTGCATCCAGTTGGATCGATGACTACTTTGATTGGGCAGCAGCAGCATCGTCTTGCTGCAAATATAAAAAGGATACTGGAGACTTTTGCCCGCATCAAGGTGAGTCTTGTTGGAATACGTAAAAAGTACGTACGAAATTTCTAACGATCTTAAAAACATTTCAGATACTTCCTGCTTGAAGTGTAATATCACAAAAAATTCCCTACAACGGCCAGTCGAAAAAGAGTTTGAGAAGTATCTCCCATTTTTCCTCAAGGATAATCCGGACGACCAGTGCGCAAAGGCCGGTCATGCCGCTTATGGTGGAGCTGTTCGGTACTCCAACAGCCATGAAAGACTGAACATAGAGACGTCATATTTTATGGCCTATCACACCATACTAAAATCCTCGTCTGACTATTTTCTAGCGCTTGCATCGGCTAGAAAGATATCGGCAAATATCACGCAAATGTTGCAGGGCAGATTAATGTCCAACGGAGTTCCTATGGAAAAGGCCCTTACGGTCGAAGTTTTTCCTTACTCAGTATTCTATGTGTTTTACGAACAATATTTAACCATGTGGTCGGATACGTTACAGAGCATGGGCATTTCAGTTCTTTCTATTTTTGTTGTTACATTTGTTTTAATGGGCTTCGACGTTCATTCCGCATTAGTTGTTGTAATCACAATAACAATGATTGTTGTTAATTTAGGAGGTCTAATGTATTATTGGAACATTTCCTTAAATGCTGTTTCGTTAGTTAATCTTGTTATGGCTGTCGGAATATCAGTAGAATTTTGTTCGCACTTGGTGCACAGCTTTGCTACTTCGAAATCTGTAAGTCAAATTGATCGAGCCGCAGATAGCCTATCAAAAATGGGTAGTTCCATTTTCTCCGGAATTACTTTAACCAAATTTGCAGGCATTCTAGTGCTAGCTTTTGCTAAAAGTCAAATATTCCAAGTGTTTTATTTCCGCATGTACTTGGGAATTGTAGTTATAGGGGCGGCGCATGGCCTAATTTTTCTGCCGGTTCTATTAAGTTATATTGGTGAGTAATTATATTATCATTCTTATAAATTCCCTCATATTAATAAATTCCTTTTTTTTATTTCTCAGGGGCTCCTGTAAGTAATGCTAGGTTAAGATATCATAGCCAGGTTGCTGCTGCTGAACACGAGACAGCACTCGCAGGAATTCTATAAATCAATCCCCTAGATGTATTACAATAATCTCAAAAATATTTTAAATGTTAACCGGTTAAGGTACAATAAATAATAAGAAAATAATTTCTGTTTTATAAATTGTTATTGTTTTGCTACCAAATTAAAAACATTAATTAATGCTGACTTGACAAGGCGATGATTATATACCTTGGCACCTTTAACAAAAATGTATAATTCTATAAAAACGAGGACGGAAGCTAACTTCGGCAAGCCGAAGTTTTAATACCCTTGCAGACTTTGACGAAATTGCTAAAAGTGAAAAAGTAGCGAAAGGAATAAGGTATACATAAGTAAACTAGATTAGCATCGTTTCAAGTCAATTGCTTTTATACTGCAAAAATGTCATATACAAATAGAAAAAAAGGGATACTTTCGCAGCCTTTAACAATTTTTCCTATCTCCTTTAAGATGTAGACTTCCGAGCGGCAAGCGCTTTTACCCTAATCAAGATATGCGTAAATAAATAAGAATTGGAAAATTTTATGTTAGTAGCTTACACACTGCGCGAAATATTCTGATAATCATCAAATTTGGGCCGATTTCACCCTATTGTTCCTATGGGAGCTATAGGATATAGACGTCCGATCGGCACGCGCTTTCACCTTGATCAAGGTATGCGTAAATAAATAAGACTTGGAAAAATGTATGTCAATAGCTTATACACTGCGCGAAATATTCTAAAAAACATGAAATTTTGACCGATTTCACCGTATTGTTCCTATGGGAGCTATAGGATATAGACGTCCGATCAGCACGCGCTTTTACCTTGATGAAGGAATGCATAAAAAAATACGATTTGAAAAAATGTACAGCAATAGCTTTTACACATCGCGAAATATTCTGAAAAACATCAAATTTGGACCGATTTTACCCTATTGTTCCTATGGGAGCTATAGGATATAGACGTCCGATCGTCACGCGCTTTTACCCTGATCAAGGTACGCATAAAAAAATAAGATTTGGAAAGATTTATGTCAATAGCTTTTACACTGCGCGAAATATCCTAAAAATCATTAAATTTTAACCGATTTTACCCTATTGTTCCTATGGGAGCTATAGGATATAGACGTCCGATCGCCACGCGCTTTTACCCTGATCAAGGTATGCATAAAATAATACGATTTGTAAAGATTAATGTCAATAGCTTTTACACTGCGCGAAATATCATAAAGTCTTGCAAGATATATCCAATTGTTCCTATGGGAGCTATAGGATATAGACGTCCGATCGGGGCGATTTTCAAACTTGATCTGCGTACACATGTTTTAGGACGATTGTGAAAGTTTCAGATCGCTAGCTTTTAAACTGAGCTCGCAAACGGTATTGAAACAGACGGACAGACGGACAGACGGACAGACGGACAGACGGACAGACGGACAGACGGACAGACGGACATGGCTATATCGACTCCCCTATTGATCCTGATCAAGAATATATATACTTTATGGGGTCGGAAACGTCTCCTTCACTGCGTTACAAACTTCTGACCAAAATTATAATACCCTCTGCAAGGGTATAAAAACTATATATACCTCGATTTGTATGGTCATGTTTTTAAAAACAATGAATTTTTTTAATTTTCCAATCATTGTCTGATCATTCATAGGCAGCTATATGATACAGTAATCCGATCAAGCCCTTTCCGATTTACACACAACCTGCAACAAATAAAAACTTGTGAGCGTTTCATTCAGATTTTGTCGTAAATATAAAAAGTTGTTGGGAAAAATTGTAACCTTTTTAATTACTTAAAAAAAACACGGCCAACCAATTGTCAAACCTTTTAAATGTTGTGTTTTAATGGTGTTATTGCCTATCAAAAACCATTGCAAGAGTAAACAATTTTTCAAAAAGGAAGCAAAATACAACCAGTAATTTCAACAGTTTTAAACTTTATTTTATCTTGATGGTATATTTTTAACGAACGGCACAATCTCCGTAATCCATTCAAAGGATATTTCCGTGACCTGGCGTAGAAATGTTTGTTCCGTCTGAACTATTTCAGTGAAGAGAATATAGCTTGGCTTGTACTTTCCATGCAGAACACTTGACGGATGAATTTTGGCCCTGATGTTCCCGGAAACTGTTAAATAAAATCCATCCCGTTGCAATACGGCAATATTTTCGAAAAATCCATTTAAAATGCATTTTTTTATCATTTCGATGTCATCAGAACTATTAAAGGCCAAATTTAGTCGCTCGCTAATTTCCGCCAATTGTCGACGAACATTCCGGGCGTATGTTAAGCTACGCAAATTTAAATAATTGTCGTGAGACCACATCTGAAATGAAAACCAATAAAAAAATATTATATCTCAAGTTTTTAAAACCTGTTGCCGTAAATTTACCTTTGGTTTCTCTGTTTTTGAAAATGCATTAAATACATTCAGTAGCGTTAAATGATCTCCATGCTTGGATTGAAACTTAGCATGAGCTAAAGTAGCTATTTCATTTTTGTCGCTATTCGAAACGAAAACATGATCACTTGAGAGCACAGACACGAGGCTCAGAATTTCTTCCATGCAGCCAAAAGATGAGGCAGTTAGCAATAACTTTGAATATTTTGGATCCAAGGGATATTGCACCATTTGCCGGCCCAAGGGTGTAATATGTGAGACCGACCCACTTTTAATAGCTCCAAGGGCATCCAAGCTTTTATACGCACTCCTTAGTCCTTCTTCAAGTGGAGCGTCCAAAAAATCAAAATTATTGCAGTCGATGTCCAAAGCAAGAAGTTGCAGTACCATTGAGGTTGGGTTCGTTCTGAGGATTTCTGGTTGAGTAGCATCTGTAAACGAGTCCATTTCTTTTTTTGTATATGCCCGGTAGCAAGTTCCATCCGCATCGCGACCTGCTCGTCCTGATCTCTGCCAGGCTTGCGCCCGCGAAACTCTCACTGACTTCAAGACATCCAATCCGTCGGAGGTATTGTATGATTTTTCTTTTACAAATCCGCAATCGATAACACATCGAATGCCGGGTATGGTGATCGAGGTTTCTGCTATATTTGTGGCCAGTATAACTTTCCGGACGTTGACCGGTGTCGGTAAAAAACACTCCAATTGTTTGCCCTGCGATAATTGAGCGTACAACGTGAACACACGGAGATCTGTAGTTCCAGTCATGTCAATCTGAAATAATGAAGATCTTATTTTAATTGATTTGTAATCTGTTTGTTTGAAAATGGACTCACCTTTGCAAGCTGGCGAATTTGATGGGCCAATGATTCAATTTCCTCTTGCCCTGTTAGAAATATTAAAACGTCATGGCTGTAAGATTAAATGCTAATATTTAGTATATTGGATTAAAAAACACAAATAAAAAGTGGTTTTCTTTTATTCGATTAGAATTTGATCGAAAAGAGTGATTAAAAAAAATATAAATTTAATTTTATATTTTTACGTCTTAAACAGCCCTTTTTAAAAGAGCGACTCTGTGCATTTTGAGTTATTTTGGGGATCAATTTAAAAATTGTACTTCCAAGATATCCTTAATGCTCATATCTTTTTTTCAATTTAAAAAAGTATTAAAGCAATTTTTGAAATTAATTATTGCAATTTGTTTTCTTATTTTTTTAAATAAAAGGACTTGAACATTTAGCGTTCATCACTATAAAAGAACTTAAAATATTCTATCTTAATCATAGTACCTACTTTCTCGGCGTGGTGCGGTGAATGTGAAAAAGAGTTACTAGGACGGTGTGCACATAATCTTCGTGCTCCTCCTTGGCGTGCATCACACGAACGGGATACGTCCTGCCCTCCAGATACATTCCTTTGCAATTGAAATACTTTCCGAAATGATCGATATCCATCGTGGCAGAGGTAACAACAACCTTTAGATTAGCCAATCTTTGCTTTCGTCTCTCTTTCTGGGCATCTTTTACTATCCCGAATAGCAGATCGGCATTTACAGTTCGTTCGTGGGCTTCGTCCAGAATAATCACAGAATATTTGAGCAAAAGTCGATCCCTTATAGACTCTCGGAGGAGCACACCGTCAGTTACGAAGCGGATCTTTGTGTTCTTTGAGGTGCAATCCTCGAATCGAACCGTATAGCCCACCGTATCGCCAATGTTTCCGGATAATTCCTGAGCAACTCGGCGCGCCACAGTTATCGCCGCCACTCTTCGTGGCTGCGTTATTCCGATGACCCCGTTTTTTGCGTAGCCAGCCTGGAGAAGGAACTGCGGGATCTGAGTGGTCTTTCCGGATCCCGTTTCACTCATTATCAGCACGGTGTCGTTCAGTTCCAATTCCTTTAGGATTCTCTGCCGGCAGTTGTAGACGGGCAAGGACTTCTGGAGTTGTTCGATTGAGGTTCTTTTACTGGTCAGCAAAACTGGTGACATCGGATGCTTTATTTGAGCCACATGCGTTTTCTTCTCAATAACGGGACTATTTGCCATCGAGTCATACTTCCGTTTAATAGAGAATTTCACTGGAGAAGGACCCCCCGCATCTCGCTTGCTGGTGGCCAAGTATTTTGAGTCCATTATTTACAATCTCGCAGCACGTTTCTTGGGAAAAATGTAAACAAAGAAGAGAATAGCGTTTATCTTTTTTATTTCTCACTGACAATGTGTCAATTTTATTACTTTCGTTGTTTGATGTTCAATTACCTTTGCCACCTATTTTTATTAAGTAAAAACTAGTCTCGGAATATATTTTATATTAGAAGCAACAGGCGTGCGGATAAAGGTAGGGTTGTCACATGTTCATGTCAGATGTGACCATAAAATACAAGGTATTTTTAACAAAATATACCAAAACATTGTTTGAAATATTGAATAACTGATTCAAATTAATCAAATCACTAAATGTTGAAAATGAAATGTATTTTCAGTAATCTCTAGATTCTTTTTATCTTTTAATTTAATTGCCAATGAAGTGCCCAAAGTAGCTTATAATTATGATTTAATTAGTATTTGGTTTAACGCCTTCTGTATTTGTTGATTCTTTAAAATATATAAATATTTGTAGATTATTTTTAAGTTTTAAGGACAAGCAAAGAATATTTTATTCTGTTTCAAGTTAATCATTTTATTAAATATTTTAGATATTTAGCGGGAATTTTTAAAGCCCGCCAACTTTATGTGTCCACCTTAGCAGAACATGTTTTAGTTCTCAGTATTCGGTCACACTCTTTTAAAGAACAACAATCACAATTATCCAAAAAAATATTTTGTTTCAAAAAATTATCAGAACAATGAAATCCGAAAAACTTAAAAGAAACTTTTGGATCACCGCCGAAATAGAGTGTATGCTAGACTTAATAAAGGAAGTAAACAACTGTCAAGGAGCCTTGTCCACGAGCACCACGCAATATACATTTATTCAGATTGCCAACCAGATGAAAAAGCGAGGATTCCCGAATAAGTCTCCCACTCAAATCAGAAGGAAATGGTTTCAAATGAAAAGTGCTTATCTGTGTTACAAGAAGGGCAACGTTGATAGATTATTTCTTATACCGGAGAAATTCCGAAATGTAATCGCTCAGTTCGTAGAAAGCGGTGAAAAAATTGGACGTTCGAACTTGTCAACTATCTCGACTGGAACTCCGCCAATAATGCAACAAAGCCAAGAAGGTAATGTATATAAACATGGATACAAATAATTAGATTCTTAATTTGGTTTAAAAAAAAAATTCTTTCTTTTATAGTTCTTTCAGAGGAAGATACTTCGGTCATGGATAAATTTCTAATTCAAATCAGAAAGAACAATAAAATGATCAATTCTGAGTATCTAAAGATGGAAGAATCGCTACTACAATATGAGCAGAAATGTCAATTTATTCGAGACAGGAATCTTATAAAGCTGATCGATATCTATTAGTTAAAGACGTGTTTTAAACCCCTACAAATTAGAGTAAATATTTTAGATCCTTTATAATCCATTCTTAAAAAAAAAACCACTTAATTTTTAAATTGAATATGATAACTCATTTGTTTATTAAAAAATTATAAAACTGTTATTTTTAAATGTTTACTTTATTTATGTACAAATTTGAGCAGTTATCTTCAATTATCATATTGATCCTTAGTCATAAATAATAAAAATACGTAGTTTTTATTAAAACAAAAACTATTTTCTGTGGGATAGTTTTGCTTAAAAATTTTGTTTAATTGGAGTAATAAACGAAGCCTGATATGAATGTGTACAAGTCCAACATCAAAAGTACCAATTAGCATACGTCTATCTATCGGTGATAACAACTGGTTTTTAAAAGAGTTTTTATGTATGTCAAGTATATACATTTTTATACATGTTTATGTATCTATGTTCTTAATTGGTGCATTTGCTACAGTTTGCTTTTAGTATTCGCAGCCAGGTTCTCAAAACTAGATTAAAAGATTAATATTGAAATTATATTAGATATTTTTTTGAATAACTTTTATTATCTCATTAAAAACTTATTTTACCATTTAATGATTTAAACAAAAATCGTGAAACCCGACTTAAGCTCTTATTTGCTTGAGAAACCGGATCAAATGCGGAAAACTCAATTACTTAATTGCGGTGCAAATATACAAATAGAAATCATTGGTATGTACTATACATTTCTGTTCACAAACTAGTTTATTTTTTTCTTTTAAGTGTACGTACGGATAAAATTGACAACAATTAAACTTGGCAGAGAGTACGTAAATGTATAATACTTTAAATTATCACAGAATAAAGAATTAGTTGGACTTTCATAATTTACATTATATTTAATATCAACGTGTTTGTATGCTGGCGTGTGTATGTTGATATTGTTTAACAACATGTTGTGAATTAATTTATTACGTTATTGTTATTATGCTGGCTTCCTTTCTTTGTTGTTATTATATCAGGGTACAATAGAGTGAGAACAATATTTAGAGTCTGAGCTCTGCTCTTCTACTGACCCAGACCTTTTTCTCTTTTTTCTCTCTTCAAATTACCCATTGTTCAACGAACCCGTGAGCCTGACTCAAACAGCGTTGCCAGACTTATACTCGTTTTATAATAATTTTTTACTCGAAATTAAATTATTTCTTTTAAAGTGGTAGTTTAATTCATTAGTATTGAAAAATGAATAATAGGGGCCATCAGTAGATCAATAAAATAATTTGAAAACAGATATATAGAAATGTCTCCAATGTGTCCAACGTTTTTCTTCGGAACGATCGGAACTTAACCTGTTTTTGAGTATTGACATTTTTTTTTACACTTTGGTTCCGGGTTTAAAATAACAAAACGAATACTTTAAAAAGTAAATGTATTCAATGTATTTTATTTAAATTGTACATTTGTATAAATATTTATATAATCCATTACACTGCTTTGTTCAATTTAATTTTAATTTTAGAAAGCGATGTTATCAATTGTTTGGATAATTTTATTGAGTAGTAGTTTGTGTAACTGCCTAGACAATGGTCTTGCAAAAACTCCCCCAATGGGATGGCTGTCGTGGGAAAGATTTCGATGTAATACTGACTGCGTAAACGATCCTGATAATTGCATAAGGTAAATTTATACAAAGTTATAAAATATTATAAATTTGGTCTTTGTATAGTTTTTTTATTTTTCTCAAATCTCTTATTTTAGTGAACAGCTATTTCAAACTATGACTGATATTGTCGTCGCTGATGGATATGCTTCTGTTGGCTATGAATATATTAATATTGATGATTGCTGGTTAGAAAAGCACCGCAGCCATGAAGGAAAATTGGTGGCTGATCGCAAACGTTTTCCAAATGGAATCAAAGCTTTATCTGATTATGTGAGTATAGAAAATGGATAATTATTTCAACAACCGGGAAAAATTAGTAGATAACAGAATAGGTATTTCGAATACTTTTTATTATTTTAGTTACGGTTTCGGATATTGGTATAACAAACAAACATGTTACAAATAAAATTAACGTTTTAGATATCCTTATTTATTTAACATTCATTCTTTAAGATTCATTCGAGAGGTCTAAAATTCGGAATTTATGAGGACTATGGTAACTACACTTGTGCAGGTTATCCTGGAATTATTGGCTATGAAGAGAAGGATGCACTTCAATTTGCGGAATGGAATGTGGACTACGTAAAGTTAGATGGATGCTATGCACTGCCATATGATATGGATCTGGGCTATTCGACATTCGGAAGGCTTTTAAATGGTACCGGAAAATCAATGGTCTATTCGTGCAGCTGGCCTGTATATCAAATATATGCTGGAATACAGCCAAACTATTCGGCAATTCAAACTCATTGCAACCTTTGGAGAAATTATGATGACATCCAAGACTCCTGGGCATCTGTCGAAAATATTATCGATTATTATGGTAATAATCAAGATTTAATAGCTCCTAATGCGGGGCCTGGGCACTGGAACGATCCTGACATGGTAGGTTTTGCTTATCAAAAAGATAAGTAATCTGACTATGTCTAACTTCTTCTTACATTTTAGTTAATTATTGGAAACTTTGGACTAAGTTATGAGCAAGCAAAAACACAATTCGCAATTTGGTCAATTCTGGCTGCTCCACTTTTGATGTCAGTAGATTTAAGGACGATTCGTCCGCAATTTAAACATATTCTTCAAAATAGAAAAATAATTGCTGTGGATCAAGATCCACTTGGTATTCAGGGAAGACGAATTTACAAACACAAAGGAATTGAGATTTGGTCAAGACCAATTGGACCACTTTACCAAAACTTTTACTCTTATGCAATCGCCTTTGTAAACAGAAGAACTGATGGAACTCCTTCAGATATATCGGTTACTTTAAAGGAACTTGGGCTTATTAATTACTCTGGATATAGAGTAGAGGTATGTTTTTAGTAACATTCCCCATTTTTACTATTGATTTTATCTTAACATTTTATAACAATTATCGGTGATAATAAATACACAATTTCTTTATTTGTAAAACCATTGTCTTCCAGGACCTCTACGAAAATGTTGACTACGGCGTTTTATATCCCAACACCAAAATCAAAGTAAAAGTAAATCCCTCTGGAGTGGTTATGCTTAAAGGAGAGGTTCAGTTTCCAGCTGACTTATAATACAATTTGTTAAACGAGATCGCCTAAAAATACCACTAATTGATACTAATTTGTCAATAAATATTAATTCACCCCTACCGTGGTTCACGACTGACTATTACAGTTTCGAACTAAGTTTCAACTTAATATTGGCTTGCATTAAAAATCGTTATAAATTAGACAATTAAAATCGGGGCAAGGGTGTGCAATTTCGAAAAACCAGAGCATGATTCTTGAGGCGGTAACCAATTTGAATTTAAATTCCGGATATCTATATTTATAAGATCTAGTAGAGAGGGTTTCGGAGGTTTAAACTCCTTCTCGGGCATTTAATAAAATAAGAGCGAGATAAGAATTTTAAAAAAATTTCTAATAGCTAAAATTCATCTTTAAAAAATCTGCTCAGAGAGATTTGACGTTCCACATATGTATGTATGCATGGCAAATATCCCAATCGTTCCGCAGGCATACGGTTCGCTCGGAACAAACAATCAGCTAATAACGTACATAAACTTGTGGTTAAGAATGTGAATTTCTGGAACGGTAAAATCTTATGGACGATTCCGCCATTATCCCTTTCAGTGATTTGAAATCCCCCTCAATTTACAAAATATAATTGTATATTATAATATATTTTACACCTATGGCATTTTGCGTCACTGTGATCACGGTCACACTCGCAGCAACGGTGGTGTTAGTAGAGCGAAAAAATTCAGCAGTTGAATTAATTGAATTCACGCCAATTTCTGCACTTGGCAGAAGAGCAGGGAAGCAATGCATGTGTGATCCGCAGGCCGCTCGCCGACGCACAAGAGCAGGATGCACTTTTCCATACCGGACACGCAGGAGATGGGCTCTTCGCCCACCTACACGGCCTACAACCTACACATCAACGGCTGCTATCACAGCGTCTTGCGCTACAAGCAGCTGCACTCCTTGAACGAGCAGCTGCGCAGGCACTGTGTGGGCGTTCCCCTGCCGCCGTTTCCGCCCAAGCGTCTTCTGCCGCTGACCAGTGGCCAGTTGGAAGCGCGTCGCAGTGCCCTGGAGCAGTACCTGCAGGCGGTGGGTCAGGACGGCCGTCTTGCCCGATCCGCCCACCTGCAGCAGTTCTTGCAGCGGGCCCAACTGGACTCGGCCCTCGCCGAAGGCCAGGTGGCCAGCGATTGCGAGGAACAACAGCTGGAGGTGCAGGTCTACACGAGTCCCGCAGGTGAACGCATCCTGGTCAGTTGTTCCGTGCAGCAGAACGCCAGAGCTCTGCTGAGAAGCGTCTGTCAGGACCTTCAGCTGCCCGAGGAGCTGGTGCGCTTTTTCTGCCTATTTCTAGTGCGACGCCAGCGGAAATCCGACGAACTGCACCTGGTTCGTCGCCTCATGCCCTTCGAGTCGCCGTACATAACTCGTCTGCATACACAGCCCTGCGAGCTGTTGCTCCGTACCTGCTACTGGGACTCGAATATAGATACCAAGCTGACTGTGAGCAAGGTGGCTCTGAATCTGCTGTACAACCAGACCGTGGCGGATGTAAGCCGCGAGTGGGTGGTCATCTGTTCGCCCAACGAAGGCCACCAGCTAAGCTGCCTGCAGTCGCATGGAAGACAGCGCGAGTACATGGACCTGGTGCGCCAGTTGCCCTCCTATGGTTGTTTGCAGTTTGATGAGGCGCAAGTGGATTATCCTGAGCCAAATACGATGGCGCTAGTCAGCATTGGCAACAAGGAGTTAGGACTGCGCACGGTACGCGGCGCCAAGATCTACGAGACCAAGTTCCGGGTGACTAGAATGCGGTCGTGGCGCGTCAGCGTCACCCACAACACACTGGAATCGCGTCTGCAGCCCTTGCACCTCCAACTAGCTTTCGAGTATCTAATTGGCAAGCAGACGCTGCGCTGGATAACCATCAATAGCGAGCAGGCCATGCTGATGTCCGTTTGCCTGCAGGCAATGGTCGACGAACTGTTGCATCGTGGAGAAGGCGGGAAAGCGTATTCCGGCAGCGACGACGAACAGGAGCTCACGGCGGTCACATCGTGCTCATCGACGCCGAGTTCAACGTGCTCCACATCTACGTGGGCATCTTCCTCGTGTTCTACGTCCACGGCGCCCACAACGCCGCCAGTTAGGTTTCTGTCTGAGGATTCGGCTCCAAGATCCAAGCCTAGGATGACGACCTCCCGCACTTTTGGTGCTGTGTTCTTTCGCAACGACGTCGTTGACAATGGAGCTAGGGTGTCTAACGAGGCGTTTGAAGGCATCGGGGACGATGATCTATGAATGTGCTAAGGGAATGCTTGCCGTGAGTTGCCAAAACCGATTGCTTTTTCCGAGAAAAGGGCCGCCAAACTAGTTTAAATACAGAAGCAGCTTAACTCATTTAATTAAGGTTAAAGATTTTATATGTGTGTTATACAAAGACACTATCTCTCTGCTACTTGCAAAAGTTACGAAGCCTAAATAAGATTTATGCAGTATCCTCTGTTTAATCGTAAAACAGTGCAAAAATGTGGTGTAAGAAATGAATGCTCAAGACAAATGACACGTCTTAACATGATTATTTATATCTAAATGTTGAATTATTGTAAATGATCTGTAAATGGAACTTTGACGAAACCTTTTACTCTTTTATCATTTTTGGTATTGTAATATATGTATGTACGTAACATTTCTTTATTTTAGGGATAGATAAAAAATATGTTATGCATTTTACAAAATAAATGTACTGATAACTATGGTAAATGGAATGAGAAGTCAAAATGGACTTTTCGTTAAACAAAAATAAATGTACATTCCCTTATCTGTTGATTCACTTCCAAATAAATGACGAATATTTTTTGGACGTTGTGACGAATTTCCTCAAATTAGTTGTTTATATTCTATTTTTATTTGTAGATAAGGGTTCTTTAAAAAGGAGAAGGAATTTATTTAAGGTGTTCTCGATTCGACTATGTTGCCTGCCTAGGAAAGCTATATATGTGGTAAAATTTACAGATGATATTTATTCACAGAATAATTCCATACTTGTCTTATATTTAAATAACTTTTTTGTTTAAATTGTATCTTTGGAACTAATTCCAAAGGCATGCTCAATGGCTTACGCTTCGGTAGTGTATTAATTTACTTATTACAAAAAATTGGGACGTTGATTAAGAAGAATCCATACAATTAAGGTTTTAAAAAATGTTTGTTTAAATAATTATAATAGTAAAAAAGGTAGAATTTGAAAAATTCTCCAATTTTCCTATTACCTATTTGAACACATAAGTTTGCTAATATTTTATTAAAAATCGGGCTACTTGAAGTTGCGGGATAGTGTTCAATATGTTTCCTATACTTGACAATGATTCGAATTAACGGTTTTAACGTAAATTAAATGTTAAGTTATTTATACAAATTTAAATAACTTAACTTATAAAAGGCAAACTTCAAATTTTTTAGTAAACAACAATTTTTATATGCCCCAATACTAAAAATCGTTGTCCAATAAATAGCGGACACAATCACTAAAATGAACTGGTACGATTTTTAAAATGCAAAGGGTATTCCTAATAGAATACAACTTTTAGTATAAGCTTTGGTATATTTGAACGAACCAGCTAAGGTCACACTGCTGCTAAAGAGAAAAGATTTGTACGGAATATAAATAACTTTTCGGTGATAAACAAGACGATTTGGGGAGTTGAATTTCATATAAGGACCTGGCAATATGGATCGCAATAACGGGTAAGTAACGGGATCACAACAAAGGTTCAACAATCGAGACTTTCGCTCGTCTTGAGCCTGTGTGCGTGGGACGACAAAAGGCAGTGTTTACACACATACGCACATCCACGGGTATATACATGGCACGTCTGTATGTCCGATCTTCCTTTTAATACCCGTTATTATTATAATGAAAATGTTATTCGTGCATAAGATTGTAATAAACTTATATGTATTTAATATTAATTAGAATCAATACCCGATTCTGTCCCTATAAACGTAAAGATCTCAAACTATATTGACTAAAGAATATGGATTTGATATTGATGCTGTTTATTTTGTTTAAAAATTTGTCCACGTCGTTTAAAATTGCAAAACTCTGTGAAACTCACATATGAAAGATAAATGTTTTTTAAAATCTTTTTGTTTTCCTTATGTATTATTATGAGTTTTCTATCGTGTTTCAAAATATTTCTTTAAATGTGATGAACACTGTCTAAAGACTTATTTTCGGTTGGTTTTGAAATCGTTCAGTAAAAACTAGATAGGTTTTTGGGACACCAAGTTTAAGTTTGGGTTCTTCATATTTTGTAACAAACCAGTGAGTATGGGTAATTCGTACTCGCGATTCTATATTAACCGGATATTTAATGTTCTTACATTATAGACGCTACCCCTACAACATAAGACGGCAGAATAGCGGGCACAATCCGCCGCACAGCTACCACCATCACCACAATAACAACTCGGCGGCGGGGGCGTCCAATTCACCGGGATACACCAACCACAGCGCCGGAAACTCGTCGTTCGTCGGCACTCACAACAACAGCAATGCGCTTTATGCGACCGCCGCCGGGCAACAACAACAACAACAACAGAGCCTCCCTATCTCGCAGCACGACGAACTGATCCGATACATTCGGGAGGCATGGAACAAGGTAAGGCCCCGAAAATTCGGAACCAGAAGTTTATTTACTTGTCACTCTGCTCCGCTTTTTGCCCGCAAAAAAAAGGGGGACCGTTTGAAAAAATGAGTTAGTCGGACAATCACAGTTTCAATTTTGATCTCTTAAAAATATACGAATTTTCTATAGTTCCTTTCAAATATTTTCCGCCTTCAACAAAGGTCAGGTATTTTGAAATAACTCATGTATTTTCTGCATCCATAATTAACACGATATATTAGAATTCACTCTATTTGAGTATTTGGTTTTAACCCGTAATATATCTATATTTCAATAAATGATGTATGTTGGATCTTATAATTCTAACACCTTTTGGTTTACAAAAGAAACTTTTAAATTGAATATAATAAAACTGTAATGGTTTTATCATTTTATATACTTCCTAAAAAACAGTTTTTGACTCGAATTATATTTCAACGAAGTTTTTAGATTTAGTTCTAGGTTCAGGCTTGGGACCTAGCTTTTTCCATTCCATTTTTTACTTACCTCGATTAAATTTTGTTTCTAGGGCTTATTACTTTTTGACAAAATGGTCAACAACAGACTTCAATAAAAAAAAATATACATTACAAAATAACTTGAATAAAGTCATTGTTTTAAAACAATTTTTTAATGAAACGTAAAAGTGTAACCAAAACGGGCTTGAAAATTTTTTCAAAATATTTTAACTACTTCACCTTGTAACTTTGCTAAGATTATTACTTAAGGCAACGGAAAATCCTTCACAAAATAATAAAGGATATTTTTTAAATATACATAACTATAAAATAAAACCATTAAAGATTGCGGTCCCTGGCGGAATTTTTCGGCTGCTTTTCATGCTTTGCATCTTCTCCAGGTTAATGAACAGGGACCACCTGTGATCTACTGCAACGAATCTGATAATCAGCTGAAAAACTTCAAGCCATTCGATTTGGAGGAGTACTGGGGCCAGCGCCTGGTGCAGAACATGCACGTGACTGCCACACAGGCTGGCGGACACCAGTAAAAACGGGAATCTTACAGCGGACAACGGCATGTGCTTCATGTGGTAACAATTAATTAAATTATACATTTAAAAGGGTGCCAGTTCCCCCGATTATTGACTAATTTCCATGCGATTGGAATTTACATTTATGTTTGTTTGCGACCTGCTTTGGACCATTATGTGTAAAAATTTTATTAAAATCCACTGCCAGCTGAAAGGCAAATGATGTATTCAATAAAACGACGATTGGCTAACAATTTTCCACCATGGGCACCCTAATTCTAGCATGCTATCTGCATTTAAGTGTTGTGCATTACGCGCGCTTAAAATTTGACCAGAACAACAATAAACAATCTAGAGCGTAGAAAAATTTAAAACAATCCTGTGTATTATTTTTTGGGGGAAAGTGTTGCAAGAATGCGGCTTAAAAGATGAATCTATTTTAGTAAACCCAAATGGAAAAACTGCCTAGCTAATAATTGGATCAGTAAATTATTAAAGGGCGGTATTTTTATAAATATTTGTTTCAATAACTTGCTCTTTTGTTTTTCATTAATAATAAATTCAAAAACTTTAATTACAATCGATTTGAGTTTAATCAAAAAGAAAATATAATTGTTCAAATTTGTGAAGTGCAAAATATTCAAAACAATTGTTAATATACTTTAAGATGCATATGAAGTAATAGTTGAATACATTAAATAAATGTAAACCTTAACATTTGTATACCCCTGCCGAGGATATTATAATTTCAGTCAAAAGTTTGTAGCTCAGTAAAGGCGACATTTAATTTTAAAAAGATCAGACCAATTTATTATAGAGTTTGCTATAGGAACGATCGAAAATTTAGCGGACAATGGACTGAGCTTCTCTCTTAATAGTGAAAACATAAATGGCAAACTCAGATAAATTTCCACCAATCATTTTTGAGTTATTAGCTTTGTCGTTAAAGGATTTTCAGTATTTAAACGTGCTCTTTTTCCAAAGTGAAATTAAACTTTATGTAAACAAATAGTTGTTCTTGATTAAATTTGCTCGAGTTTGGAACTTTAGATAATCAGCCATATTGTGACCAAAATTCAGCTCTAGAACGAAGCCTCATCCTGACATCTTAAACACGACTACTTCACTCATCATTTGCAATTTATCTCTTAAACGAGTTCTTCACACATAATTACCATCACCTCCTTGAAGCGAAAACACTGCGTTTTTGTACTGAACGGCAATTCGTGGGTTTATAAAAGTAACTTTTATTTTCTCTCACTGTTTACATCGAACCGCAGCTTTTGTCCTATCAGCAAATGGATAAAATGGATCGTTTAGACCATCTTGCGCAGCAGACGGTTGATCTGGTCCTCGCGGTTGCCGAAGTCTCCGCCGTTCACGTAATGGTTAGCCTTCTTGCGCCAGCCGCCGGTGGGCGTGTTGAGCTTGAAGGGCCACAGGAAGTTGGAGGCGTACTTGAAGTTGGGCCCCACGGTGAAGATCTCATGGACGAGGTCCTCCACGCACTGAATGTTGTGCGCCTGGCGGAGCTTCCTCTCGATGACGAAGTTGTCGGTGATGGGCACGCGCTGGCGGCTGTGCTTCACGAATCCGCGCTTGTAGACCAACTCCCGCACGGACTTGAGGTTGGGGTAGCCCCAGGTGATGTAGGGCTCGGCGATGCGCAGCATGTTGATGGTGGCCTTGTTCAGCTTGATGAACACGCCGTTGTTGATCTGCCTCAAACGGAACAGCTGCAGAACCTTACGGACCTTGGGGGCAACCTTGTTGATACTGTAGAGGGTCGGGGATTAGAGCAGCTGGAGGAGATTGCATCCGCATTACTCACCCGCGGATACGGACCACAAAGGCCAACTTGGCCTCGGCGGGCACGTAGAACTGGTTGCGCTTCTTGGCCAAGCGGCGCAGCTTGATCTCCCGCTGATCAGCCTTGATGTACTCATTCTGGTACTTCTCAGCGCGCACCAGATTCTCCTTCTTGCGCAGGGCAATCACGGCGGCCTTCTTAAGGCGACGTTTCGACTCCGCCACCCGCTTGGTGATTTGTTTCTTGCTGAATTTCAGCTTCGATTCCGGCACGGCGGGCAGCTTTTTCGCTGCTGGTTTCTTGGCGACCGGAGCAGGCATCTGTGGGCGGCAGAAAACAGTTCCATTTGAGTGGTTTCCTCTCAAGTTCGAGTGTATTTTTTTGGAAAATAGAGCACTAACCTTTTACTGGTCACTACACACGCTGGTAAAAGAAAGGGAAAGAAAGACCGGAAACGTTGGCTACGCCATGTACGAGCTGTCAAATCAATGCAACCCTGCGTTTAGTGTTGCATATCGCTGCGAATCGTGACACGAGGGCCATCAGGGGAGCGGTCACACTAGTACGAATGGCGGTTATCGAATAAGTACCATCTCTAGCCTTTGGCGGATCAACAGGAGATTGCGCGAAAATTAGGGAATTCAGAAAGTTTTCTTATTTTCCCTCGATTGTTTGTAACAATTCAAGAGCATTGAGTAAGTTTTCAAACTGATAAAGTCTACCAAATTTTATATATAGCTTCAAAACAGTTTATGCTATTGGAATACCTAGATTTTCAGTAACTTGTCCGCCGAATAATATTTGTAATGCGCTAAAGTTGAAGTAATTTTATAAAATTTCTACTGATCTTGGTGTTTTGCCAACAATGTAGTGTGTTTATTTGCTAAACCTGTATTTCCTTGTTTTTGTATTCAATAATGCAGCTTACTACAATAACTATAAACTTTTAGTTTTCTAAAATTTAAGTAATTTTATAAACGTCTGGTTTGCTGCCAACAATTTAATTGCTTTTCAACCAATTTCAGTGTTTCTTTTCCTTTAATGAATAAATACAAGCTAGAAGCAATTTACTGATTTCGTATTCATTTAAAGAATTTTGAGGTAGGTTATTGAATTTGCACTCTTGCTATAATTATGTTTTTGTGTATTTCAGATAATTTGTATTCCATACAAACTGCCGAGAGCTTATCTAATTGACCAAACAAGTCAAAAACACATTTTTTACTCAATAGTTAGCCAAGATGAATTCCACTCAAAACCCTGTTTATCACACTTCCGTTGAGCAAAAGCGGCATGCCCAAGATGTGGCCAAAAGGCAGCGAATGGGCATGCAAATGCCAAAGCTACGCGAAATTCTGCGCGAGGTAAGAAACCTAGTAAACCCTATTTCAATTTTAATAACCAAACCTTATTGATCTTAACAGAAGTACCGCAAGCGCATAATAGAAACCAGGAATAAGTGCACGGACGCCAATCGCGAAATACAATTGGTAGGTTAAAAGATTCCCAATGACCTACCCATATATAACCCTTAACTATCTCTCTATTCAGTCAGAACTCAGGGATATCCTTCGTCTGGAACTCAGTGAGTTTGAAGCGGATCTTGAGCTGGAACAGCTCATCCTGGACGAGCTACTCTCGGATGTGAATGAGTGGTATGCCCTGGGTGAAAAGAACGTGGAAACCTTGTACGTGGAACCTGATCAGAAGCAGAAGGACGTTCTGTGTCCAGTTTGTCAGATAAAAAGCCTGCAACGCCTCAAAGGTGCCTTTACTTGCGAGTGTGGCATCCAGTTTGAACACTCGGCAAATGGGGAACAATTACAGGAACTGCTGCAACAGCAAATCGCTAGCCATGAGCTCCAGTGCACTCAGGCCCTGCGATTCTTTATCGAACCTTCTTCGGGACACCTTTACAACATGTGCGGCAGCTGCGACTACTTCTCCTCCGTTTAGGTAATCTTAAGTTGTTGTTTCGATCGCTGGCTACGTCTAGTATAGTATACGAATTTCTCATCTTAATTAATTGTTAGCTAAGTTAAACATAATTCGATTTTTTGTATTCTACTAAAACATCTGTCCTTATTATAACCAGTGATCCACTTAGATCTATTTTCATTCAATACTAAAAAAAAATCTTAATATATTAGAAAATCTTAAAAACATTCTAAAAAAAAGTGCCATACATACGAGTTGTTTCAATGTGACATTAAAGATCACGAAAATGAAAATAATAATAATAATAATCGAGTTTTCACTTTTAACTGTTGTATTCGAATCGGATCTTTAATCGGTTTCAATAGGCCGCTGATATCAGTACGCACCATCCCACCAAGTTGCTTGATGTGGGAAGAGCTTTTCCCCATCGCGCACGTGCGCGATCCCCCAGATCTGTGCCGTCCATATCTTCACAAGTTCGGGCGGCTGGGTCTTCGTGATTTTTCCGGCGTGCGAGAGTCTGCTTAGTGAGCCGCCACGCTCGGTTGCAGACGGTTGGCCTTTTCTTCTCTCGAAGTTTTCTTTATCGCGGTAAACGTGCGCCACACATATCTCTCGCTGCTATTTTGTTTATACAAAAATTACTTAAAAGAATAATAATTGAATGGCAACTGGGGACGCAACGGGCTCTCAGTTTGAAACGAAATTAATTTTGGATCCATCGCGTATAGCACATATTGCGCCAGCAGTAATCGCAGTGCATATTCCCGATTGCGAAATAGTTTGTTTATATTGAGCGTTTCTGTATTTGCTGTTCAACCTGTTGTACGCGAAAGTTTGAAAGTGAATGCCTATAGATTGGAAATTAATTGTGAGCGATACAAAGAAGCCCAAAAGAATATGCGCAACGGGATGAAAATATTTCGAAATGAAATCACAAAAGTGAAATCTTTGCTGAGTTGAAAACTCGGCGCCAGTGCAAACGTTAGCAAACATCATTAAATTCTGGCCATAAGTTTCTGTTTTATTGGCCATTATGAAGCAGTTGTTCAATATAATACACTGTGATCATTTGAATGGGCATGTACGCTCTATTTATGATAATTTAAATACAGATGTTTGTGGCATTGACCGTGTGAGGCGTGTTTTTGCGTGTTTCAGCATTTTTCTGCTACTTTTAGGATGGATCTTTGTGTGGAAAAGATATAAAAAGTGAGTTTCATTTAGAGATGCATTGTTGATAAAAGACCATTCTAGTTTTTGTTAAAACAGTTGCTTAATTTAAACAAATTGAATACAAGTGATGGATTATATGATAATATTAAGTTCTGCAGTTTATTAAATTTTATAAAAAGGCATTTTTAAATATATACATAAAATAAAAATGTAAAAATAAAAAATCATTTTTGGGAAGTTAAAACGTGTTGAACCTTTATTACTTTTTAAAGGTTAGTGAACCCCCTAAAATACTTATTTTAAAGTAGCATTCTGTTTGTTGCGATTGCCATTTATCCCACGGTTTTCAGAGAAATACAGCATAGAACGCTTTTTAACTAAAATTAAAGTGTTTTTGCTTTGTTTTATTTGTTTTGTGTTGTTTACAATGAGTTAGCGATGAGCTAGTGTTTTTTTTTAATTGTGCAAAGGCATGAACTGAAATAAGGTCAGATGTAATGTGTGTTTGATTAGCTCCTTTGGCGTTTTTCTATCGCATCTTCATTAGATGCTTGATGTCAGTTGAGTTCACTCCTTACACAATTACGGCCAAAACATAGATTTAAATAATTCCCCCAAATGCACATACATATATAATAGGCAAGCAAATGAGCACATTTGTTTAAATTTAGCACATGCGTTTGTTGATTAGACGAATTCTGGAGAAAAGATGAGGGAGCTAGAGACTTTTAGCTCTATGTTTAAGTGGTCTGAAAAATCTTTAGACAACATTTATTGCCTTAGATAATATCACAACTTTATTAAATAGATAATTTTTATGATTTTTGTACACCATTTCACTTATTTACATATGTACATACGTACATAAAATACTTTTGGCAGTTGCATTTTTAACCGAACAGAAAACATTAAATATAAAAACTTTAATTATTAAATTAAATTATTCTAATCTATATAAAACTGAATCTAGATTTTTGTTGGCCAAAATTTATTTATTGTGTTATTACTTTTGGGTGTGATAAAAGATAGCTACCAACTTTTGATGTCTTTATTTCAGAAGGAAAACGTTAGCTATTAACGGAAACTACTTCAACTTAATTAGATAAAAATATGTGATCTTCCTTATACTTTTTGAAAATCCACTTAAAAACCAATTATTGATATCCGGATTTCAAGTGCATACACCACTGAGAATCATACGCATCCCGGAGCGAAATTAAAAAATAATCAACATAGCATTTCGGATTCGAGAAATAACGCATCGCGTGCCAAAGTATTCTCAATGGGTAAATCTCAATTGCATATGCAACGCACTTTTCGTTGAGGGCGCAATCATATAAATAAATATACAAGCCTGATACACGAAATCAATATCATTAGGAACAGCAGTTAATTATAGAAACATGAACACATTTATGATTGGCTCCGTAGGGCATAGATTTCTATATTTTATTGGGGATGTCATATTTGGATAAAATTAACATACTAATTCCAACCGAATCTGGTTGAAAGTTTTCTGTGAATTTTATTATTTATAATATTAATAATAACTCTTACTTTTAGAACGTTTAAATATAATTCTCAAATATCTAGTAATTAATTATTTGAACGTTTTCTGATTAAAGAAAAATTCTGAGCTCTTAAAATTCCGTATTAAAAAAAGAATTCAGAAAGGTTTAACACTTTAAGGCAAGTGAAATGATCTGACCCCCCGTGCACTAGACATTATTATAACCCAATTTTCCACATTCCATTAATTTCCGACCTTTAAATGCAGATGCCATAAAACATTGCTAATGTTTCACAATGGACGTGCGGCGGTTTCCCTGCTCCTGCTGGCTGTGAATAGCCTGGAATTGGCCAGGACCTTTCTGCCCCATCGCGGTGTTCGCCAGCTAAACCCACTTTTCAAGTTGAGCCCCAGGGATCGAAACTATTTGATTGTAGTTGGGTCGGGAGAAGTATGGAATGCGGTTTTCTCCACATTGCTGACACTTTTGCTAATGCTGTATCATCGCATTGTGGAGCGGAAAAGGTCGACAGGTGAGGGCATTGCCGATCTGCAAGGTCCTTGTCCACCTGTCCCATTCTCATTCTTCCCTCATTTTAGTGTTTTTGTATGCGACTACTGCCGTGGAGGTATTGACTTTTGCTCTGCTCACCAATGAACTGTCTGAGTTGGTGTCCTGCGAGGATTTGCTGGAGCTCCAGACGTGCCTTCTGGGCATGTCTGCCTTGTGCATGATGGCCTTGGCACTGCTGGACGGGGTTACCATATACAAGGAGGTGAGCATTTGCCAACATTTTCCAATTTGTTTGAGGCCTTGAAGCCTTTTTTTAGAATGCTAAACAAATATTGAATAAGTTTTAAACAGTTCAACTTAGAATTTTGAACGGTTAAGGGCTCCTTTGTTTGGATTGACATAAAATATTTTCAAATTAAGTTTATTTTAAATAATATAAATTTAGATTTTAAAGCTAAGTTTTAGGAAAATATCTACATGGGTACATTTTATTAATAAACTTGTATTTAAAAGCATTGAAAAATGCTCTTACTGAATTTATTTCCCAGACAACAAAACACGCTTTTAAAAAATATAATACTTTTGCCTTTCGAAACAAGATAAAAATTGTTATATTTGATGTAATGCAAAGTGATCTATTATTAGGTATTTTAAAATTTTCTGATAAAGAACAGGGTAAAAAAAGTTAAGAACTAAATAAAATATTTATATATTTTCAGATATATAAAAATTGCGCACTAGTTAAACTAATATTTATTGTAGATTTAATAAAGCTTGCAAACTAAGAAATTTGAATAATCATTGTTAAATAATAAATAAATCAAAAGGTGTATTAATTTAACTTAGAAAAATCCACCGCCTGCGATTACAGCAATGACAAAAGCGTATTTATTTAATTCTTTTGCAAATGAATGCAAGTTGGCCCAACAGAGGAAGCCAAACATCGCAATGCGATTTGCATGTTTAAATTTTAATTGAGGTTAAGTGCAGATTTTAAGCTTAATGCCTTCTATACTTGGTGGAAATGCTTTTTTTTTGCAGTAGTTTGTGGCTTGGCCACAGGATAAGTCCCAGGACAACAAGCGAAGAAGGAAATAAAGAGTTGAATATTTAAATTTACAAAATGGTGGGCCAGCGGATATAACTGTGGGCTTTGTGCTTTAACAATTGTCATATTATTATTACCTACTTTAATTGAAAATGCAGTAATATTTATGGTATATTTCCGTCTGTTAAACAGTGCTATCACGATGACTATTTGGACGACTATGAAAAAATAGGCTACAAACACTCGCTGGCCACATTTTATTCCAAGTCCTGTTTTTGGTGGCTAACACCGCTGCTCTGGTTGGGCTACAAGGAACCACTGGAACTGGAGGATTTGGGTGAAATGAAACTGGAGGACAGTGCTAGGTCCCACTACGACCACTTCCTGTATATTTACACTGAGAAGAAGGTGGGTAAACTTAATATGTAATGCAGACTTGCCTTCTAACAAATTTTATCTTTAGAAAAAATCAAATTCGTCCCCATCCTTGTGGTATTGCTATATAAAGAACAGTTGGCGCATGTTTGCCCTGGGCGGCATTTTGAAGTTAGCCGGTGATTTATTCGCCTTGATTGGTCCGCTGGCCATACAAAATATAGTGGAATATGTCGAGCAACTTTATGCCCAGGCTTCGATGCCGGAAGTGCCGCCGGAGGAGTCAGCTCTGCTGTCCTCGTCCAAAGTGGGCACCGAATTCGACGATGTCTTCGGCACCAATATCGGAACAGTGAGGATTTACAGCAGCACCTGGTCGGATCTCTTGGCAAATGGCTGGTGCATCGCCTGGATTGTCCTGCTGGCCGCAATGACACAAGGCGCCTTGTCGCAGGCCTCGACGCACATTCTCAACATGACCGGCATCAGGATTAAAACGTCCCTGCAGGGTCTAATTTATAGAAAAAGTTTGCTCCTAAATGCGGGTGGTGGGTGTGATGAAGGCCATACTACAGACGAAACTCAGTCAACTTCCCTCCCCAAGGATGAAAATCCCACAAACGATGATTCCAAGCCAACATTAGAGCACGTGGACAAGTTAAGCGGTAGGTAAATCAGGGAATTATAGAAAAAATCTATGTATATTCCTCTTGCCTCCTTATTTGGTTTCCTATGTGATTGCTGATTAACTTAACATCACATTACATTGTTATTAAGTAGTTTGTTAAAGCTTTTTCAATGACTTTACAGAATCAAATGCCACGAATGACATTGGCAGTATTACCAACCATATGACGGAGGACACCATGAACATTATGGAATTCTTCTTGATCATCCACTATGCCTGGGCCATTCCATTTAAGGTTCGTACCCAGATTCGCCATTTGGTAGGCTAATCGTTTTTGCAATTTATGAGCAACTTGTGTGCCATTTGGGTTCCGTTTGATGTCCGCTAACACGAACCAAATTTATAGCATTGGCTGCCTGAGAAATCCTTGACTTGAAATGCGAATATAAATGTTTTTAATATGTTACATAATCGTAGGGCTATAAATTTTATTTTACTTAAAATGGTTTTATTGCTGAATCTTTTTTCAGATTTATTTGTAAGTAACTAATATTTCTTAGAAAAACGACTGAAGGAACTTTATATTTACATTTTTTATTGGAGAGATATGGATCCTTAAGTTCTATAATAACAAATTCCATAAATTTAAAATTCTATGATTTCTTGCACACTCAATTTGTAAAGCTGGTTCCATTATTTATTTCAGATATCTGTGGTTATATATTTATTATATGTAAATTTGGGAATAAGTGCAGTTATTGGATCCATTGTATGTATAGTGATAATGACGCCCCTGCAATTCGTAGTAGGAAACGCAATGTCAAAAAATACTGAGGTTATTGCGGTAAGTAATGATTTACAAATAAATTAATAAGACTTATATTTTGTTTGGTTAAGTATTGCTATTAAAATGTTATACAATTTATTGTTACTTCCATAGAAATATACCGACGAGCGATTGAAAAAATTACACGACACACTTGTTGGCATCAAAGTCATAAAACTAAATGCCTGGGATGAGGTATTTCTCAAAAAGATTCAATTGGCCCGGAAAAAGGAGCTCAAGTATCTCAACAAGGATGCAACATTTTTTACACTAATGGGTATGCGATGAAAATAAGTACTCTAATAAGTACAAAATAAAATGTATGTTTTTCCTCCAAATAGCCGTACTTACACATGTTGCCACCGTCTTGATCACCTTTGTGACCCTGGGAGTTTATGTGTGGCTGCATCGGGATCAGGAGTTCGACCTGAATGCCAGTCGTCTGTTTTCTTCCCTGGCGCTTTTCCAGCAGCTCACAGTTCCGCTGCTGATCTTTCCCATCACAGTGCCCATTATCATAGCGGCCAGGGTATCGACTCGTCGCTTGGAACGATTCCTGAAGTCCAGCGAGATCCAGAAGCAATTCGAGGGCATTCGAAATATGGCCAGGATCTTGAGCAAGAGCGATGCCTCGTTGGATATGTATGAAACGCAGGAGAAATCGAATCTAACAATGCGGACGGCTCAAGCGGAAAATAGGCTAAATGAAAAGCGGCTGGCGCAAAACTCTCAAACTCCAGAGCCGCCGACTAACTGCACTCCCCTGTTGCAAAATAGCGAGGAATCTGCTGGCGATATGGCCTTATCCACGATCCAGGAACTGGGGCACAACAAACTGGTGCAACAGCGTCGCGAACTGCTCCGGAATACTCCATATGTGGCCATCCGACCTCCGAAAATGCGGGGCAGCGTGGTGGAGAGACCCGTGGAATTCTCGGTTATCCGTGCCAGGAATACGGATAGCTGGCGACGGGATTCCCTTCTGCTGAAAATGCCCGATGACATTGCCGTCTCAATCAACGACGGACTCTTCACGTGGCAGCCACAAAGTCAGATGCCACTGGTGCAGCTGCACGTTCCCGGAATCATCGTGCCCAAGGGCAAGCTGACCATCGTTGTGGGCAAAAATGGCAGCGGAAAGACATCCCTTCTATCCGCCCTGCTCATGGAGATGCCGCTCCTGGTGGGCAACATGTTTTGGCACAAGTGAGTAGTTAGCATTAAACTCGGAAAAGCTTAATATGAACAAGAGAGAACGCTATAGTCGGGTGCCCCGACTATCAGATACCCGTTACTCAGGTAAAGGGAGTGCGAGGGAGATGGAGATAGAAACTTTGATCACGCATAACTTTTTAACGAATGGTCCGATTTGAAAAATTTCTTCTACATTTCGATAGGTATTGATAAACACAATAAAACTGCATTTTTACTTTTCCGAAATATTAAAATTTTTAAAATCGTATATTAGCGATTGTGGGCGTTAAAGGGGGCGTGGCACCTTTTTGAAACAAACTTGCGCTGCGTAGGAACTCCTGGAATCTGCATGCAAAATGCCAATCTTCTAGCTTTTATAGTTTCCGAGATCTCAGCGTTCATACGGACAGACAGACAGACGGACAGACAGACGGACAGACGGACAGACGGACAGACGGACATGGCTATATCGACTCGGCTAGTGACCCTGATCAAGAATATATATACTTTATAGGGTCGGAAACGCTTCCTTCTAGCTGTTACATACTTTTGCACGAATACAATATACCCTTTTACTCTACGAGTAACGGGTATAAAAACAGGGGAACCATATAAATATTGATTACTCACTGCATCAGTTTAATTATAAATTTAATAAATCGGTAATATTAGGTGGTGCCAGAAATGATTAGGGCTCTGAAAGTAGTTATAAAGATGGGTAAAAATATGCAGCAATGTATTTTAAATTTTGAAGTCCTTTGGATTTAATTTGAAAGACGACCTTAATTTTTTTAGTGCATACCCTTCTGATTCCAGCATTTAAAAATGTAAAAAATGTTATCCCGAAGAATGTACAATATTTGGAGTTGGCTTGAGTTGCGAAAAGAAATCAAAGAGAACAAATTGGTTTATTGGTTCGGTTTCTAGTTTATTATGTTTAATTGTAAATGGGTCATTAACTTTTAAAGTTTAAAAGTTTTAAACTCACAATTAGCCGGACAAGTTAGTTTACAAGATAATATTGTTCTATAGTATAATAAAATTTAATTTTAAATACTTTTTTTAAATAAGGTAAATTTAAAGACTTTTTAACGTAAGCCAGTTAAGACTTTGTATTATGTAAGAAACATTTAAGCTAGATGACAGAACCAGAATCCTATCTCTTGGAAATCGACCAAAGGATATTATTATTAGGGTTAGTATGCGCGGCAGCACCCATTGTCATTCTCTTTGGCATCTTCTTTTGGAAAAGCTTGTTTTCCTATTTTAGTTTCAAAATAGGTTCCCATTTTAAGCGCTCAAAACCCTCGGCAATTTTCCTGTGGCCAAGATTAAGCACGTTTCCTTGTCTGTCAACACAGCAAACCCGGAACACGGTGCTCATGTAAATTTGCTCAGCTATTTATGTGCTTATTTTCAGTTCTGCCAACAGCGGTAGCAGTTGCTTTGGCCCATAGTGGATAACTTTGTTTGCCCATTTATCAAATTTAATTGCATAATTTTCACCTATCTTTGTATGCAGATTACCATAGTCACAGGGTTTAATATAGCTCATTTTAAAAATAGAACTATATGATTTAATATTGATTTTAATTGCAGTTAGTTAGTTATAACATTTGGAGTACTGAATCTCAATATTATCCTTATTACGAAATAAATTCTAGAAAAATGTAAGGAGTTCGTTTGAATAAGATAGTAATATTTATTTCATAGTGGATAACTTTGTTTGCCCATTTATCAAATTAAATTGCATAATTTTCACCTATCTTTGTATGTAGATTAATTGCAATTGGGTACAACATTTGAAGAACTGAACCTAATTTTTTTCTTATTACGGAATATATTCTAGCAAAATTCAAGGAGTTCATTTGAATAAAATAGTAATATTGATTTCTTTTGGCTGATGGCCCGATTAAACCATTTTGCGGAATGGAAATCAATGGAAAACTCGGCCAGCAGGTGGATTAGTTTAAACTTGCATTGTTGCAGCAATCCGAATCCGCCGCAGTAATGCAACATATTTTAACAGTCGTTTCAATGCACGCCACGTGATTCGGTAATTTATCACAAGACGTCTGTGTACGTTGTTAATTTTATTGCACATAAAATAAAAATGGCATCGCCGTCTGCCAGAAGGGGGCGTTTCTGGGGGCGTGGAAGGCATATACAAATGCATTTAACTAGTGGAAATCGCGGAGCGGAAACGAGGACGGTTGTGCACTTGCCTCTTGCAGCACCGAAACCAATTCGATCCTGTGGCATTTGCTTCTATTGCTTCCTACAGGACGACTGCCCCCTCCTCCCCCCCACTCCCCCTTTCATACCATCGCCAACTCCATGCCTTGGCAACCGGCAAATGTGCAATAATTTCAATTACTGTAATAAATGTCTATGTTAGTTTGAGTCCCTTTTTTTCTGCGGTATCTTCAAGGCTTCGTTCTTCTTTCTCTTTTGCCTTGCAAATTTATGTTTCTTCTATACATTCCAGCGGCAACGCATTAAATAAGACTTCTTTTATACCATGCTCTCAATGAAGCGTCTTAAATATTTTTATTGGATTGCAACTGATTTTATGCACATGAGAAATATACTTACTTTGTATCAAATTTATGGAAAAATTTAAAACGCTTTAAAACCCATAGCGAAAAATTATGTTGATTATCTATCTATCACAGCAAATTCGGAGGTTCATGACGAATCTATGAGTCTATACAAGTTTCAACGAAATTTTGTTGAATTAAAATTCAGAAGCTCCCTAATTATTATATGCTTAAGAGATGAGTTAATCAGGGGTAAAACAGAAATTTTTTCTAACCAACTTTATTAAGATTTACCCATTAACAGATTTAAAATCTCATTCGGTGGAAACGATTTCTGTGTCACCCCCTAATATGTATTATATATTGACAATACAAACTAATTGCATTACAAAAGTCAAAAGACAACATATTGTTTTAACTTTTCCCTATTTTCTTTTTTGCCAGAACTTGCACAATTTCCTACGTTTCTCAACAGCCTTGGCTCTTGAATGACACCATCCGGGAGAATATACTTTTCGGAGAGTCCTTTCGACCGAAACGATATGATTTCGTGTTAGAAGCCTGTGCCCTTAAGCCGGATATTGAGTTAATGCCCAGGGGCGATTTTACTATTATAGGAGAACGTGGAATAAACATTTCTGGCGGACAGAGGCAGCGAATAGCTATAGCTCGAGCTATATATTCATCGGCTAATGTGGTCATTATGGTAAGTCAGCTCGAAAATGTTGCGGATTTATAACGCTTATTTATTATTTATGTATTATTATTATTGGAATGGTTTGGGCTAAGTTTGTAAATCCTGAAAAAATCAATAAGGCTACTTAATTGAGTGACATTTGAATTACGTGTAGGTTCCTTTGGCTTTTTCAATCCGTCCCCTATAACCGTTACACATATTTTGAAATTTTCCAAAATGTCGTTCGATCAAAAGGAGATCTTCAGTTTGATGTACAAACTTGCACGGTTGATAGTGCCAGATACGCGAGTTGAATATGATTCGATGGGTCCGATGCACATTCCCCTCGACCGAATGTACGGTCCCCAGACAATGCGATCCCTGATGAAATTTCCAATTGGGGGAGTGGAGGAACGCATGCCTGTATGGAAACTAATAACTTTAGAAATGTAGATCTTTATCGTGCCTAAACTCACAGCGACCCCTTATTAAAGCCATGGGAATTGTGAAGAAAGCCGCTGCGGAGACGAATAAAATCAACGGACTGGATGAGTATTTGTGCGATGCCATTTCCAAGGCCTGCGATGACATCATATCCGGAAAACTCTACGACGAAGAGCATTTTCCGTTGGTCATCTGGCAGGATGGATGCGGGGAGCACACCAACATGAATGTAAACGAGGTGATCAGCAATCGGGCCATCGAGATCCTGGGGGGTCAGATGGGCACCAAGGATCCGGTGGACCCAAATGAGCATGTGAACCTGTCGCAGAGCTCCCATGACACCTTCTCCACAGCGGTTAGAATCGCCGTGGCCATGCAGCTGCAGGAGAAGATGTATCCTAGCCTGAGGACATTCATTGACCTGCTGGGCAAGAAGTCGAGCGATTGGATGGATGTGGTCAAAATCGGCAGAACCAATCTGATGGACGCAGTGCCTCTGTCGCTGGGTCAGGAATTCAGTGGTTATCATCACCAGCTGGTGAACGGAAGGACTCGATTGGACTCGGCCCTCAGCCGGTTGTACCAGCTGCCCATGGGTGGCTCCATTGTGGGAACGAAAGTGAACACCACGAAGGGTTTTTCCGAGCAGTGCATCAAGCGGATCGCCGAGCTAACATTCCTTCCCTTTTCGGAGTCCCCAAACTTTTTCGAGTCCATGTCCGCCTGCGATTCGCTGGTCGAGTTGCATGGAGAGCTCAACACCATAGCGGCGAGTGTGATGAAGATAGCCAACGACATCCGATTCCTGGGATCGGGTCCGCGTTCTGGTTTCGGGGAATTGAGTCTGCCGGAGCACGAACCAGGTGATTTGAGCATGCCCGGCAAAGTGAATCCCACACAGTGCGAGGCGATGACCATGATCTGTGCCCAGGTGATGGGGAATCATGTGGCTGTTTCGGTGGGCGGTTCCAGTGGCCACTTTCAACTCAACACCTTCCTGCCGATGATCGCCTCGAATGTCCTGCGCTCGATAACCCTGCTAGGCGATGGCATGAAGTCCTTTTGCACCAATTGCCTGGAGGGCATCGAACCGAATAAGAGCAAGATTGAGAGCATCATGAAGGACTCACTGATGCTGGTCACCGCCTTGAGTCCCCATATCGGATACGAGCGGTCTGCTGCGATCGCCAAGGCAGCGCACCTGAACAAAACCACATTGATGGAGGAGGCCATTAATGCGGGCATCGCAGTGGAGGACTTTCAGCAGTGGGTGCAGCCCAGCAAGATGTTGGGACCACATAACTAAACAAGATACACAAAATTAGCTAACTCATTTTTGGGACACTATCCAGAATTGTGCATATGGTCATGTCGGTTAATTTATTTTTAAATTCAACATTGGTTTCCAGTAATAAAATAATCTTAAACTTCTTTAGACTTTGGATGATATAGATAGTGAAAAGTACCATGTGTGGGAAGTTTTTTTTTTAAATATAGAAATTTAATAAAATTGCTTTCAAGATATAAATCTATTTTTAATTTTTCTAGGACGATCCCTTAGCTTCGCTTGATAACGAGGTAGGCGAACATATATTTCAGCACTGCATACGACAGATGTTACAAAAGTCAAACAGAACTTTTATTCTTGTGACACAACAATTACAACGCATAAAGGAAGCTGAATACGTAAGTATTTTAGTCGATAATACCTAATCAATCATCTGGAAATACCTGCTTTGAGCACGTTACATGGAATATGTAAAAACAACTATAGTAAACATTCTATAGTCTATAGAATCATTGTCAATTTAATTTTTAGCTTGTTTCTAAAAAATTAAATTGCACATTTATTGAAATTTTAATTATAAGTTTTTCTATATATATCGTTGATTAAATTTGTAGTTGATTGCCATAAAAGATGGTCGTGTTGAAGCGTGTGGAAGTTACGCGGATATTGAACTGATGCATCCGAGTATTACTTCCAAATGGAACTCGATTATTGCAGCGGCGAAGGCCAAAAAAGATAATATTTCACAAAAGTAAGAATTTTACTTGTGAGTCAATGCGACTTCTTAATTATACAATGTTATAAATAATTCAGTCCAGGTGAAAGAACGGCTGGGGAACGCTGGAAATTACTGAAGAATGTGAGCAAGTTGGGATTGCAGCGCTCGATTTCGGTGACAATGGATTCAAATGCCGGATGCAATGCAGATGCGATTGATGGCAGTGGTTGTATATCGGTGGCTAATATGCAACCACATGTGTTGGAGGAGGACGAGGAGGATGACCGAGTGTCGGTGGTAAGTGATTGGATTACCAGAAATCATATAGTTTAATAATTTGTATGCGTTATTCCTTAGTCATATACCATTGGCAATGGATCTTGTGGTGGATTTAATCTACAGCGCAAACGTTCCAGCATTTATGGCTCGCGGCATCTGATGTACGATGTTCCTCTTCCGATTGACGAGTGTCAGGGAGATGATGTGATCATGCGACCTCGTCGCCGGCATACCCTAAGTCGTCGTGGAAGTCGGACGACCAACTCCTGGCATCGATTGAGTGGTCTGAGCACCCTGACGGCCACTTCCGGCTCGAGTTCCACCAGCGGAGACCTCCTGAACCGCAGTGCCCTGGCCACCAGCTGCAGTAGCTATGCGGAGAGCAGTGTGGATGGCAGCGACTTGGCCACGGCACAGCCAGAGCCTCGAGTGCAATCCTGGCAGCCGCCACAGAGCGTGCCCCATCAGCCTCTCTCTCGGAATGCTTCCTCACCACCAGCCATGGAGGTGGCCTGTCCAGACACCAATCAGTCGGAGGCGCCAATGAAGACCAATACTAGCTCGGAAGGTCCTTTGGATGACCACGTTCGAGGCAGTTTTCAGCAGTTCCTGCGACGAATGTCCATGCGGCGTTCCAATAAACCGAAGTGCCACCATCACCCCCTCAGCGCCACCAACTCAATTCTGTGAGTAAGGAATTATCAGACCATTGTTTCTAAAGTATTACATTTTATCCTCAATATACAAATTATAAGATAGGATACAATTTAAAAAATTACTAATGCTTGAAAGGAAATTATATGTCTTAGGAATGCTTTTAACGCTAAAGACATTTTCTTATTGACTGTTTAAAATTAATTTTTAATAACTTGAAAAGTTTAAAAAGTTTGTTAACATCTATATCCAATTACTCAATTATATATAGTATATTGTATTGCCATATAATATTTGATCAGGATCAACAGTCATGTTCATTTAAAAACCTGGATATCTAGAACTTAAAAGCTATACTCATCATATTGGGAATGGAAACTCCTATTCTAAAATACTAAAACTCTTTATTATATTTACACTACATATTTTCTATTACTCGCAGGAGCATCTCTGAGGAGTCTCCTCCCATTGTTCATTTTCCTGCCACACTTTTAGCGACGGATGCTTCGCCAAACAGTAAATCTGTTCAGGGGGAATCACCTTCAGAGGAAAAGGCCAAAAAGAGTAAGTTTATTTATTTATTAATTATTAAGGAGCAAAATGTAAGAAGGCTTAATATGATTTGTTTCGAGGCTAATACAAAAACTAACATCTACAAAGTTGCCAAGAAAATCTGTAGTTTAAATTTTTAAGTGTGTTAACTTTAATGAAAATGAACGTTTCTCATGCCTTTGTGTCCTGCAATCCTTGGTAATGAATATTGATTAGCAGAAATTTATTCAGCTGGGCGTGAAAACTGGAAACAAAATATTGGCATTATAATCGAGAACGGAAACTTCTCCTTTTTCGCTGCTATGCCAATACACTCAGGGTCCTCATTCTTCTACTCGTAGTTTACTCCTGGATGCATGCGTGTAGCTTAAAACTTAAATCAACTTTGATTTTAAAAGTTTTGAGCTCCCAAGCGGTATGTCAAAGAGACTGTGTTCCAGGGCGCGAAAAGTTTGCAAGGCAGAAACTTTGGCTTAACTTGATGCATTGATCTATCAATATTTGGCTGATAAGTCAGCGGGTTCGCAGTGAAAACTTTCGATTTAATCAGTGCTGCAAGTGTCACTCCATCCGATGCCAGGGCATCTTTCGCTAAGCAAATCCGCAGACGGGAAGCTAACTTTTCTTTCAATTAGTTTGTCTGTGGAACTTGTTAAAGTAAACGGCATCAAGGTTTAATTGATGTGGGCTCATGTCGTTTTTCGGAAAATGTTTCCGTCTTTCTACCTTTTCCAATCAAAAGTCCAAGCCTTTGGTAATCAGTTTGCTTTCCAAATCTGAAATTATTTTTTAAATGGGTATTGTAGTGGGTATTGAACTAAAACTGTCTCTTCCTCATGTTGGAATTTGTGTGGAATTTTGCATTTCTATTACCAATCTTAAGCTAACCATAATAATAATACACTAAAACTTTGTACAATGTCCCGATAGCTTTATCCATTTTTAGAATGATTTAAAGTTGTGTTAATGCCTTGCAATATCATTTAAATCGAACCACTTTTAACATTCATGCATATGATTTTAGAAAGGCAATTAGATCTAGGGAACTAACCTTTTTTTTAGCTAATCAATGTTATTAATCTTTGTATGGCCAATATAACTTTTTAATCGCTATTATTTAACTGAAATTCTGAAAACTTGCTCGTATACACGCTTATCTTGTTAACTTTTGACCTTTAACTAACACATAAACCCCTTGAGGTTTATTAAACACATGTGACCCCTTGTTTCCTTTCACCCACGAAAAACAGGTGTAAATATTGACTCGAAGGAAATCACAATAAATTGCGCTGACAATTGCGAATCAGCATCCGAGAAAGAATCGGGGGCAAACGTGACATCCTCGGCCACCCAGGAACGCAGTGAAGGACACGTGCTGGCTGCGGCAGGTGAATCCGGCCAGGAATCGATGCCGGTGGCCAGGATAGCGATTGATACCGAACGCAAATATGGAAAAATATCGGACGACATATACCTAATGTACATACGCGCCGCCGGCCTGCCCATAATCACCGTCTTTTTTATCACAGCACTAATTTGGCAGTGTTTGCGTGTCTACACGGACGTTTGGCTGCAGCAGTGGAGCGATGTGCATGGGCAGGGCATGAAGGACATGAAGGACATGAATCAGTACCAGGACGAAGGACCACCGCAGAATGGCCCGGAGGAGGGCCACGAAGTCACGTACTATTTTCGCATGTATGCCGCAATTTCGTGTGTTTGCATTATAATGGCCCTGGTTTCAACACCGGCCGGACAATACGCCGGCTGTAATGCCCGTCGTAATTTGCACGATAAGCTGCTGCAAACGATTTTGCATAAAACGTTGCATTTTTTCCAAGTGACCCCGCTCGGACGTATTGTGAATCGTTTCAGCAACGATATGGCCGTCATTGATAAGGTGAGATTTGTTATTTCTGTTATACCTGCGTTGTTTTTAGCCATCTGCCCTCGTTGTTCCGTCATCGACATTTTGTTGTGACACGAACATCTGGGGCAGGATATAGATGGTTGCCACTTTGATTAAGATTGCACTGCGATAGGCACGCGTTTGTTACACCATTTTTCCGGACCGTGACCTATGTGCGTTGGAAAATGAAAAATGCCTTAAATAATCCATAACTATATACTTTTATGGTCTCAGAAAATCGCAGCCACTGGCCAACGATTGCTGCAATTCACTTTGCTCTGCCTGTCGGCAATTCTGATAAATGTCACCATCACTCCCTGGATTTTGGTTCTCACTCTGCCGATCTGCGGAGCCTACTATATCATACAAAAGTTCTACAGGTGTTCAGCGAGGTAAGAAGTTTGGTTGTCTCTAGTTTAGTATATGTAAATATCTATTCAATTAAATTTTTCAGGGAACTGCAGCGGATTGAAAATGCTACTAATTCCCCTGTAATATCGCATCTATCAGAAACTATACAAGGAGTGACTACGATTCGAGCTTTTAATCAGCAAACTCGATTTACAGAGATCCTGTTCAAACGTCTGGAGGCAAACACAATTGCCTATGCGTTGTTGAACACCAGCCATCGATGGCTTGGAGTATCATTGGTAAATTTATAACATATCTAAAAAAGTTTTTAATTTACAGGGTTTTTTATTAAATTCTTTTTTTTAATCATTTTAAAACTGTTCATAGGTTTAAAATGATAAAAGTATAAACTTTTTAGCTTTGATATTACATATTAAAATCTAGAAACATTTTCGGTCTTTGATTATGAAAAATATATTCAAAATAATACTTTTAAATTGATTAGAACAGAACAATAAACCTTCCAAATATTTGATTGTTCAGATCATCAAAAGTTTAAATAGTAAAAATCAAATCTATTTTAATAAAAGTTATCACATAGTCTATATCGTAAGGATATTATTATATTATATATTTTATATTATTATTATTCTAAAATATCTTTTTCCGGTCTTTATATACATATTTAAGGAGTAATAATAATAATTCCCTTGACTATATAAAAACCAATTAAACTCCCTGTTTCGAAACGACAGTATTGCATAAACTTTGGTTTAATTTATTTTTTAATTTAATATAGTACCCAATAACCGGCAGCTAAGTGAATTAGTCGACAGTAGACCACTTTCAGTGGAAGACACGACCTTAAGCATCCTGTCCATAGACAAACCCGCCCCCCTTCATCCCCCATCTTAATCACGCCGTACATCCGCTTGCTTTAATGTGTTTCTCCTCCTGCAGGACTATTTGGGTGGATGCATTGTTTTTGTGGCCACTGTGACGGCACTGGCAACGGCGAGCGTCAGTTGCAGGAACCACTACGAGGCATCCGAAACTTATGCTGTCAATAAAAGCCCGTCGCAGCCCACCTCCGAACTGAGACCCTCGCCCTCGCTGGTGGGTCTGGCCATAAACTACACGTTGTTGGTGCCGATTTACCTTAATTGGGTTGTAAAACTTTTGGCTGATATGGAGATGTATGCGGGCTCCGTGGAACGCATCGCCCACTACACCCAGGAACGGGAGGAGGATCCGGACTTGGACTTGGACCCGTCTGATGAAGATGTGAGCGGCGAAGTCGATAGGTCGTCCCAGTCCCAGTCGAATGCCGGTGACAAAGTTTACCCAGGCGCAACGACAGCTGCCGGTGATGTTGATGAAGATGAAGATGGAGCTGGAGCTGGAACAGGGGAAGGACATGAAAATGGGGCTGATGGTGAAGTCGAAGCCGTAGCCGAAGCTGGAGCAAACGCTGATAAATTAAATGCAGGCAATGCAACCGGCGACGGCAATCACTTAAACTTCCACTTCCTCACGGCGACAGCTGGCGACAAGGTGGAGCAGGCGACGACAAAGACGTCGGTGATTAAAGATAAGCAACTGCCACCGCAGGACGAGATGGTCGTCCTGCCAAATGAGCCGGCCAGGAAGCTCGAACGTTGTAAGTGTGGGTCAGTTTGTCGCTCTTTTGGCCACCAACTCGGGGCGTTTACCACGCATCACTGGCCTTTTGCATTCGAAAATATTTTGAACAAACTTTGGTGCTTGCTTTTGGGGCATGCATTTAGGTTATTAGGAGCCCATAAACTAAAGTCCGATTTGAATAAAAGCTAAAGTGATTTAGATTCTATCAGGCGTGCTCTGGTATTGACTTTGCAAATTGTCTTAGTTTTAATTTTCAAAAAGATAAAAGGTGCTCCAGTCTACTTAAATCGCAACTTTCGCATGTTTTGTAAAGTTTTGATGAAAATTTATAATGCAAAATTAAAATGAAGTCCGCAGCACACATATATAAATGTTTATAGTTTTAAAATTCATTTCGATTACCTAGAGATCTCAAAGTTTTTTGAAATCAACAGCAAATTTAAAATTTTATTTTTTAATATTTAGGGTTCTAGCGGTTTTATTTTAATCCATTTTAAAGGAATCCATATATTTTATTCCATTTCTACTTCCAGATCAGAGCGTACCCATTTCCTGGCCGCAAAGAGGAGACATAAATTTCGATAATGTCAGTCTGCGATACGAAGGACAAAATCAAAATGTCATCAGCAACCTATCATTGAAAATTCCTGCTGGCCAAAGGGTGAGTAATAAAAGTACATATTTAAATTTGATTGAATTTTTTATTGGAATACAAGTAGTTAAACTCAAAAGTACATATGTTGTTTCCGCAAACTAAGCAAAATTGCTGGCGTTTTACATATTTAAGCAATATTGATTGAAGTTTAAAATTAAATCATCAATGCAATACAAAAAGAATGACTAAAGACTGCTTTTGTAGTCAATTTATATTCACCATAAATTTAAAAAATGATGAGATAATAAATCAAAAAACTAGGACAAAGCCGTATTGAATCGCAAATTGTGTAATAAAATAAAACTTGCAAGGGCGTTTAATAACTATTAATTGTTGAGCTGACGAGTAAACAGAAAATTTGATTGATGATAAAAAAGGGCTCTTTTCACATGCAAGGGCTAATTTTATAAAAATGAGCCACCTGGTCCCTAAAGCGATGTAGGTAGTTAAAAAAACCGAAACTAAAACAAGTTGATTTTGTTTAATTTTGAAAATCCGACAGCTTGTATAACATTGAAAACTCGTTAAAATGTAACTATTCAATCCTTTGGTAATCGGTTTATAGATTGGCATCTGTGGTCGCACCGGCAGTGGCAAATCATCCTTGGGCCTGTCCCTTTTCGGTGTCCTGCAAACGACCAAAGGCCACATCTACATTGACGATGTGGACATCAAACGAATCCGACCAGACGAGCTGCGAACCAGATTGTCGATTATTCCCCAGGATGTGCATTTGTTCAATGCAACCATACGTGAAAATCTTGATCCACACGGTTACTTCTCGGACCTGCAATTGTGGAACTGTCTCGAGATGGCGCAGCTGAAGGAGTTTGTCAACGGGCATCTTCCTGGAGGTTTGGGTGAGTGCGATTTTGGCTTTCTTGTTCACCGTTTAGAATAAACAACCACACAAGCAGCATTTGCCTTATGAAAAAGTCATGTAAGCCGTCTAATATATTTTGCTTTTTCGTCTGTAGGTCAACTTGGACAGCAAATGTCGAATGCTGTGGAAGTTAATGCATATTAGGGGCTTACCTTTGAATTGAATGCTAGTCTTTTAAATTGAAATTCTTTTCTATACTTAAAATAAAGTCAAGTGAACGGATACAAAGACCTCCCAATGACTTTTCGTTTTTAGACCAAAGAAAAGTCATTAGGAGGAGTTATCAAAGTGTTTTAGGAAAGTCAGATTACATTCTTATAATGTAATTTGAGCTTGCGCTTTTGAGACCCTCCGAATGGCTTTGCCGAATAGTTAAACGGCAATAGTCAAAAAATTAAGCCCAATTACTTTTGAATAGCTCCCCACATTTAAAAATTAAATTTTCAATAATTATATTTAAATCTTTTTAATGTAATTTGAACTTTTATTTAGGGTTTTCATATACATGTGAGATATTATTTAGTACAGTTTATTAATATTATTTCGCGGTGCACAGTTACTGAATATAATAATTGGCTTTTATTAAATTGCTGGATAAATGCTGCTGCTTTCTGCTGATTCTTTCACACACGTTCTGCTGCTTCGATTCTCTTCTGCTACTGTCCTGTTCGGCTGCTACTTCTTCTGCTACTCCTGTGCTGTACGACTTCTGCTGCTGTTACTCTGCTGTACGACTTCTGCTGCTGTTACTCTGCTGTACGACTTCTGCTGCTGTTACTCTGCTGTACGACTTCTGCTGCTGTTAACCAGTGTGCCTTTAGTAGATCTGCTTGCCTACTCTCTGTTACATTCGGTCATCCTGATTAGTCATCAGTCCCTGATGACCATGCCTCCTCGTTGTGTACAGAAAAACTCCATAATTTCATGTTATCATTGCTCGTGCTCGTATTTTTGGGTCCCTCGACGTCTGCTGCTTTTCGTACATTATAACGTCCGCCTCGTTTCACTTTTGTTATTTCGTATGGACCTATGAATTCGCTAGCCATCTTTCTCCCAGCTACGAATTGCGTTCTACGGATGGCGACGAGATCTCCAACTTTGTATCCGTACTCGCATTTTCGCTTTTTATCAAATTGCTCCTTATATTTTGTCTGGGCCTCCCGAATATTATCTTTTGCTTCTTGTCGCATTTTCTTTCTTTCGTCATCAAAGTTATCAACCATCTCCTTTTCTAGTAGTTGAAGTATATCGCTATCTGGTCTACAACGCATTTTTATCCCGATCAGCAGCTCAAATGGAGAACGCTTTGTAGATTCATGAACTGTGCCATTGATAGCCATCTGAACTCGAGGTACAAACTTGTACCATCTTCCAGGTTCCTCCGACGACAACTTTGAAATAATGCTCAGGATGGATCGGTTTACACGTTCTATTTGTCCATTGCCTCTTGGAACTCCTGTGGTGCTCCAAACGTGTTCGATGTTTTCTTCCTTCACAAATTCCTCAAAGCTAGACGACGTAAATGCTGCTCCGCGATCGCTTACTATACGAGCTGGATTACCAAAGATGTCCGACCATTCCCGTAACTTCTTGAGGACTTCGTCTGCACCTGTTGTTTTGGTGGGATACATCCATACGAACTTGCTAAAGCTGTCAACCATCGCGTAGATGTACTTGTAGTGCTTTGAAGTAGCATCCATTGGTCCCAGATGGTCTACGTGTATAGTATGAAGCGGCTCTGATCCTTTGTCGATTTGATGCAAAAATCCATCTTTTTGCCTAACTTTTTGTTGTAGATTATACATTTCATACAGTTTCCTAGGATCTGCTGTACCTTCCCTTCTAGATGTGGGATCCAATAACTCTGCTGTATGGCATGCATTGTCTTTTGTACGGCAAAGTGGCCTGCATTGTGTGCCTCTGTTATTATCTCTCTCTCCAGCGATTTCGGTATTGCTAACCGATCCGTTCCCTGCACAACCTTGTACACCAGACCAGCCTTTAATTTAAAGTTGTCATATGGTTTACTTTTCAGGATTTCGGAGACTGCTTTAATCATCGTATCCTCCTGCTGGGCTTTCTTGATTCTTGCTGTGACTTCCGACGATACCATCATGACATCAATTGGGTATCGACTCAGGCAATCCACGTACTTCAGCCGCTCTCCTGGTCTGTGTTCCACCTCGAAACTGTAGTCCTGCAGGTACAGTACCCATTGGGCTACCTCTCGCGGAACGTCCTTCTTGCTTAACGTTTGCTTAAAAGCGGCGCAATCAGTTACAAGCTTGAAGTTGGTGCCGAGTATGTACTGACGGAATTTTTTGCATGCGAGAAAAACAGCTTTGGCTTCTTGTATATAGCTATGCTGGCGTGCTTCAGACTCCGAGGTTTTCTTGCTCCAGAATAAGACCGGATGCAATTGTCCTTCATGCCACTGTAACAACGTAGCTGCGAACCCATCCTTCGACGCGTCGGTGTGTATCTCAGTTTTTGCATTCCTGCGGTAGAGTCTTAGCACCGGCTCGCTCACCAATGCTTCCTTTAATATGGCGACCGCCTGTTGTTCTTCCAGACCCATTTTAAATTTAACGTCTTTTCGCAGCAAATTCGTTAGTGGTTTTGCGATCAGTGAATAGTTTTTTATAAACTTGCGGAAAAACCCAGTTAATCCCAAAAACGACTGCACCGCCCTGATGTTTTGCGGTATTGGAAACTTTCTAATGGCTTTGGTTTTCTCCGGTCCTGGCTTAATTTCTCCTCCTCCAACTTGATGTCCCAAAAATGTTATTGAGGACTGCAGGAATCGACATTTTTTCCACTTCATCTTCAGCCCGTATTCAGCTGCTACATCTAAGACCTTCTTTAGCTTTTCCAGGCATTCTTCGGCAGTTTCGGCGTGTATAATAATGTCGTCCATGTAAAGATCCAGAATGTTTTCATTTATGAGGTTTTGCAACACATGACCAATGAAGCGGATGAAGACTGCTGGCGAATTGCAAAAACCGAAAGGAGCTCGATTGAATTCAAAAAGGCCCTCCTTCGTTATGAACGCTGTATACTTCTTGCTGCTTTCTTCGACTGGAACGTGAAAGAAACCATTTTCCAAGTCCATTATGGTGAAAATTTTTGCATTTTCCAGTTTTTCAAGCACATCTTCAACGATTGGAACGGGGAAGCAATCTTTTAGCACCATCTTGTTCAACTGGCGATAGTCCACGCAGACCCTGTTGCTCCCATCTTTTTTCTTGACGATTACTGTGCGGCTGGCGAAATTTGAGGATGAGCGCCGTATTATTCCAGCGTTCAGCCATATATCAATCTGCAGCTTGACTACATCAGCTTCGCTAATAGCCACACGGCTTGGAGCATGTCGAAACGGTGTTATGTTCTCATCTGGTAAAATTTTCAGCGTGATCGGGCACACAGCAGTCTGCTTCTTTTCGGAAAATTCTTCAATCATAGATTGGACGGTATCTCTGTACTGTGAGGGGACATCAATATCAGTATTTTCTTTAACCACATTGTAGATACTTAACTGATTCGTGTTCACAGTTTCCTCCTCATTCAGAGGAGAAAACTGATATCCTTCCGGCGTCGACCTCATTGTGAATTTGGATATAAAGTCATATCCCAGCAGCAAATCGCATCCGATGGCATGATTGGCCACCACAAGAAGCTTGTGTGCCAGACACATACCGTCGATCTCCACTTCTGCCATAAATTGACCAGCGGAGCGTGTGATATTGTTTCCAAGTCCTCTTAAAGTTGTAGAGCTTGGCTGCAAGAGCGCGCTACCCATTTTCTCAAACACGGACATTTTTAATAGGGTAACATCTGCACCTGTGTCTATGAGCCCCTTGACTTGCACATTGTTGATTTTCAGAGACTTAAGGCGTTTTTCCTCGTATGCTACGTTTACGGCAGCCGTACCAGGGCAATCTTTCGACATGTGACCACTCTGATTGCAGCGGAAACACTTTAATGTAGCTCGGCAATCCTTGCGTAGATGTTCTTGGGATCCACAATTGTAGCAGTGCAGTTTCCTCACATAGCTGTTGTGCTCGGGCTTCATTGCGAGCTGCTGTGATTCTTTCTTCTTCACCATCACATTATCATCGATCTGACGCGTTCGTTCGTAGATTTCGTATTTCTCTTTTAGCTGCTTGTAAGAACTGCATCCATACAAGGTGTACTTGTAATCCGTTTTAAGCCTCAATCCGTCGACAATGTACCGAATTACCGACTCCGTGTCTAATGTCCCACGAGCAGCAATGCGTTTCATCTGTAGCATGTATTCGTGAAAGCTTTCGTTTTTTGCTTTCACTCGCACAGACAGCTGATTGTGAATTTGGGCACTGCATACACGATCGCACTCGAATTCCGTTACAAGTTGTTGACGCAGCTGACTGTACTCGTACACTTCTGTAGACTCGAGAAAAAGAGCGGCTGTACATGTCATTTTGGCACGAGCTTGTACGTATTTCTGCTTGTCGTTAAGCCCATATGCGTCGGCGTTTAATTCGAAGTTATTAAACCACTGTTGTACAGACATATTTTCTCCACTGAACTCAGGAATTATTTTGGCAAAATTTTCCACTACCAGCTTCGCATCATTTTTTTTGTCAATTTCATCGGCGGTAATTTTCAACGTGAGAAGTTGAACCAAATCTTGGAGAGTCTGCGTGTTTTGTTCTAAGACGTTTGTGTCGTTTCGGCGATTGTTTCCACATGTCCCTGATCCACTTGGGCCCTCGTATATTTCCACTTTCTCATCTTGTGGTTCCTTTTCATTTGTCATAATAATTCTGTTGCGCAATACCCTTACCGGTAGTCTGCTTGAAGATACCGTTTTCTTTTTCTGATCCTCTTTCCTTCTGGTTGTTGTCTCGTTTCCTCTGCTGGCGGCTTTTGAGGAATGTGGCACCAAACTGTTTTGTTGTCTCGCTTTATCTAATTGTTTCTGAGACATGCGGATTGCGCATTTTATCACTTTTCACTGGCAATTCGCGACTGGTTGAGCCCCCAAATGTGAGATATTATTTAGTACAGTTTATTAATATTATTTCGCGGTGCACAGTTACTGAATATAATAATTGGCTTTTATTAAATTGCTGGATAAATGCTGCTGCTTTCTGCTGATTCTTTCACACACGTTCTGCTGCTTCGATTCTCTTCTGCTACTGTCCTGTTCGGCTGCTACTTCTTCTGCTACTCCTGTGCTGTACGACTTCTGCTGCTGTTACTCTGCTGTACGACTTCTGCTGCTGTTACTCTGCTGTACGACTTCTGCTGCTGTTACTCTGCTGTACGACTTCTGCTGCTGTTAACCAGTGTGCCTTTAGTAGATCTGCTTGCCTACTCTCTGTTACATACATAACCAATTTAGCCTATAAATTGGTTTATAATAATCCTATTACATTTCTTAATATAATCCTAATGAAATTTAACAACAAATCCTATAATTGTTTTTGTATATAAATAAAAAGCATATATTTTTGTTTTTGTCTATTTATTTAATTGGTATTTTAGATAAAAAATTAAAAGTAAATTATCTCTAAATTGCGCTCTGTACATTTAACTTATTCAATCATTATCGTCTGTATCCAACCGCTCTACAATTAGTAATTTATACTCTATTATCCTTGTTTCGTCCTTCAGAAACGGTGATATGGGACGGAGGGGTCAACCTGAGTGCTGGCCACCGGCAGCTGTTGTGCCTGGCACGTGCCATACTGCGCGGCTCCGTCTGCTTGGTCCTGGACGAGGCAACAAGTGTCCTGGACAGCAGCACGGAGAGTGCACTCCTCAAGGCGGCGGATCTGGCCTTCCAGGGACGCACCATCATTACCATTGCCGTGAGTCCGCAGTTAATCCCGGCCACTCGAGTGCAGCTGTGATATGGCAATTATATTTCTCCACAGCACCGCCTGACAACTATTCTGGATTATGACCGCTTAATCGTGCTGGACCAAGGGCGAATCATAGAAGATGGCAATCCCAGGGATCTCCAACAGCTGCCGGGCTCCGTTTTCCGTGGCTTACTGGAAAAAGGGGCGAGCAAATGGTAGAATTTCCTTCGTACATTGTTGACGATAACTGTGTCATATAGTGATTCTTAAATGTATGTGTTCCGAAAAGCTTTTACTTTTATGTCCTAACATATTCATTCAGTTTCTCGAAAACGACTATAAACATTTCAGCTTACTATTGTAATATATTTATTAGTCTTAAATGTATTTGACAAAGCTTTTATATTCATATCATGTATCCCCAAGTATTTTTTACTAGTCATGTTTAGTAAAACTCTGAGATGAACTCTAGAAATGCATTTTTGTTTCGTAAATGGGTTTCGTAACGTTTGCCACAATGAAAAGCTACATAAAACTTGGCCTGTTTTCTGCATTGTTAAAATAAATCAGAGTTACAGGAGTCCGAAAAAAGCAAAGTTATTACGACATTATGCACAATTTTGTGGATGCAACTATGCAACAGTAAACTCCGCCCAAGGAGGTCAAGCCAATTAGGCTTTGAATTGCTTCGATTTCAGACAGGCGATGCCTACCTCCGCACTCGAAATTGGAATGAATATGCAACGAGTACGGAAGAAAATAGCACTTGCAAATTTGCTTTCTGATAGGGAGAGTGGGATAAGGATCGACGGGGCACAAAACCGAAAATATTGTGAAATAAATTGATTGTTAAATGGGGACTGCTAATGTTGGGCAGCGAAAAAGTTGGGGGCAGGCAGCGTATTTCAATGATGCCTCGGCTCACTTTGTATGCATATTTCGAGTGGTTCGCTGGGGCAATTAAACTTAATTGACGATGAGGAGCGTGCATTGTTAAGTAGGTTTTCGGAGGGGGAAGGACTTTTTATTTCGTTCAGTAAGCGCCTTTGATTTCTGGGGGTGTAAAGCTGAAGGCCTGCCGATCGATTGGTAATTGGAACGCTTCAAATAGGAAGCAATATACTACATTTATTCATTAAAATCATTTTCAATGTGATTTTATCTATTAAATGAATGGCATTTTACGCGTTTTTGAACCAATCAGTCAGGGCCAACAGTTTATTGATTTCTTGGAAACTATCTATCGTTATTCGTTAATGTGTGTGAAGGGAATGTTTAGAACCTGATTTTGTTAAGTATTCAGCTCTAAGCCCCTAGGAAAATACTTATTTGTCTGCCTAATTATTTTGTGCGTACTTCAAAATGTAGGAATATTTTCACTCAATCGAAGTGATTTGTTTGCCATTCAACTAAAACACAAGTGGGAAAGTAGTCGGGATACATAAAAGAACAAGGCCGTCATTTTATTGAGTGCATAACTAAATAGGGGCTCGTCCACTTCCCAAGTTGCCTAATCTATTTATCTCCTCTTTGTATAGCATAAGTGCGCTGAACTGCACAACGGATTTTATGACGTCTTCATACGGACTTTCAATCGCCTCGGGCTCTGCCAAGTTGTTTGTTTTTATTAAATTTTCCCCGAAACCCCTAGCTTGAGCTTATATGGTATATAGAAAGCCACACTCGGATTTTGCACGCATGAGAGCTTTGCCAGTTCCTTTGACGCTGTCTGTCGCTCTAATAAAAGAAATCTGTCAAATTCAAACGCTCGTAAATGTCTTGCACAGCCAGCCGGCCATACGAGTAGCAAACTCGACGTTTTGTATGATGTTTTGTAACTGTTTACCCCGTCACTTTTTCCATTATATATGTATGGTATATCAAACTACATAAGACCAACGCGGGTAATCATATCGCATTTATTACATTTATCCATTGAGATTTTACAATTGAGTGAATTTTGAAGAATTTATTGTCGAGCTGATGCACAGTTCAAATAAAAAATGAAACAGACTAATTAAATTACCAAGACTGCCGAGTTTTGTAGAGGTATGCAGAATGATAGGTGAGTACCTCAGCGTTGAAGGTTAAGTGTTACACATTGAACAAAAAATTTAAATGCGTTTAAAAAATGTATTTAATATTGTTCCTTCAAACGCTTATGAATGCTTTATACTAGTTTCTATATGAATATTTTAAAATCAAGATCCAAGCAATAAATACATAAAGAAGCAATAAATTATATTTCTGTTAATAGTTTTTGAAAACAGTTTTTTTGTTAAAATATAAAAAACATTTTTCCAGCTATATTTGAAAAAAAAATCTGTAAAAACTATTTTTTTTGGTTTTTAAATAACAAAAAACAGTTTAAGATGGTTTTTATTTTCAAAGTGATAACTTACTAATTTAGAGTGTAAATTAAAGAAGAGAATGCTAGCTAGGATCCCCGAAATAATCTTCAATTAAGAAAAGGAATAATAATTCGGTTCGATAATAAGTACTTAACACCTTGACTATTATTCCGAACTCGACTGTGAGTGGAACGCAGATGTGTTTCTGGCCTACTGAACAAGTAAGCGGCAACCTTTCGGCAAGGAATCGTGCTGAATCTGCAGAGTTGGTTAAGAGAGCGGGCGAACGAACAGCATCCATCCGAAGGATGCTCGGCATGAGTCGTCCTTCGTCGTCCTTGCTCGCTTCGCGGCAACAACCCTGTCCTGCGGATTCCAGATGCTGTTGCGCTTTCGAATGCCAGGCGTTGCCTTCTTCCGGGCGCTGCGTTTCAGTACGTTCGTGTCTGGCTATACGTGCGGTTATCCTCGCGGTTCGTTATCCTGGCCAGCCTTTAACTCGCCGCGATTCCTTCCTGCGATACGTGATTTTGCGCGTATTTCAATTAACAAAAATAGTTTCGCTTTGGTTCGAGAGTGAAGCTCGGGTGTCAGCCCGAAATTAAATATGTAAATTATTTGTGGAGTGGCCTGTAATTGAACAAACTGTGAGTCTAATTGCGGATATGCCCGTTTTGATCCATACAATTCAACGAATTTCCCGGTTCTGACCTAACTCAAGCGTTATGCATAAACGCCGCATTCAGGAATTACTTTTGTCTGCCACAAAACCTCATCCTCGGTTGTTCTGTGAAGTGCGTTTTGTTTATTTGCTGGTTTGTTAGTTAAATTAGTGGCCTTTGATTAGCGGCATTCACTGGCAGATAGGCCGATCAATCAGCTTAAAAATTTATTTATCGTTTTTTAATAGCCAAATGAATGCGCTAAAAGCTTTTGTTTTGTTTTTCATTTTATTTTGCACGGACATTTGGCAAAATAATATTTTGCGGGTCCTCTCTATATCTGGAATTCAATTTTTTTAATGTTTAAAATGCGTGAAAAGCTGTCGTCTCGATTTTGTATATATTTTCCAAAAATATTTTATGGCATTTTTAAATAAAAGAAGTAAAGCTGGGTTAAATTTATGTATAAATATATTGCAATGTCAATTGGATAACCACTGTAAAATCGACCCAAATCGATAGCATTAGAGCTTATGTTCGAATAAGCCAAAGCTGCTGCCAAACTACCTAATCCGCTTCTAATTAGAGTAAAGTCGCTTCTAATTAACGTACGTAAGCGTTAAGAGATAATCACTACTGGTTCACATTGTTCCGGAAATTAAAGCAATAAAACACCCGGTAAACTTTAAGGCGAAAGGATAAAGGCGAAAGTGCAGGCAAACAGAGCATACTCACTGTTTACTATTATTCAAAGAAACTGTGTATCGCCATTCGGATGAATACACCTGCCTGCTTGTGTGAGCGTGCAACTCGGGGTGTTGCTTACGCTTCGCATTAGCATAATTAAAATTTGGTAAACACTAGGCCCAGGTAGTGCTCCATTAGCCCCCAAGGCAAACAGCAAACAGCAAACGGCAAACAGCACCCGGACTTGACCCAAAGCGGGCCTTCAGCCACCGCAGGGCAGATGCAACAAACCCTATTACTCATATTTAAGCACACGCGAGTGTGTGGCGAATGCCTGTTTGTAATACCCTTGAACTTTATTGTTTGAACATCAGCGGTTTGCCCGGGCTTTCGCTTTCTTCCCCCCCCTCCCCCTTCCCTGCACCGTTGAAATGGGTTTCCGGATCCGTTTCCCATTGCTTCGCCATTTTTATGCCGCTGTATGTTTGTGTGCGTGTACATCTACGTGGCCGTGCTTTTTTATTGCATGCTGTCAGGCGCAGCAATACATTGGTTCACCATTGAAAGTATATGTGCGCATTTTTCAGACAGTTTTCAAAAAATTTTACAATTCGTTAGTTTATATTGCAATTTCTCATGGGGGCCTCCCCACGCAACATGGAGCTTCGCGTTCCCATTACGACAACAGATTTGATCAACTTTCTCTTAGCCAATTTTAAGTTACTATACGGTCAGCAAATAGTACACTCCACTACATGATTTGATTATATGAATATGTCCCTCTTGCTATTCAACTCAATTGCTATTGAATTTCACCATGCCCTTACGTCAGACCAAACAATCTTGGCTTTGATTGCACTCAATTGAATATAGTTCCATGCAAACTAAATCAAATGTAAATTCAATTTCCCAGTTGAATTCGATTCAGGTTCACTTTGATTTGAGTCCTAGTACAGCAAAATTTATTTCAATTATCTTTAATATGACAACAGATGTACGTGCCGCTTGTTCCATCTATGAGGATTAATTTCGGATTAATTAATTTCAAGTGCTGAGTGGGACGGTTTTTTATTTGTGTTTGCACCTGATTAGCGGACAATTATTGCGAATCGCCCATTAAAAGCACCCCGAATGGTTAAATACACCAAATAAAAGTAATTCAATTTATTTTGTGCTGGACAAAGAATAACATGGAAGTGTCTGTACAAAGTTAAACAGAAAAAATAAAATTAAATTAAATAAAATAATATGAAAACTGTGTGAGCAATCTACGTATGAAAAGCCAACAACAGACTGGCGGCGGGAAAAGCATCAGCTGCGGAAAAGTAAACATCAACTTTTGGCTGTTTGCACAGTATCCGGGACTTCATAATTTCATCCGGTTGTATTTAAATTATACTCAAGGTTCCTTTGTAGGCACGGTATTCTCCACGAGACTGGATTTTCGCATGCCTGAGATTTACTCGTAATGTAAGTATCATATTCTGTGTATTTTTGCTCATATTTTTTTTACAACGAAACATCTTGACGTTCTTTAAATACGAAAATCCAAAGAGAAAAAATAGTCTGACTATTAAAAATGTAGCTGTAAAAAAGAGAAATGTTGACTTAAACTTAAAAATTTAACAGTCACGAAAATAAGTTTACCAGTTTACATATCATATTTTCCGCTTTTCCTCGTCTGTTTGAAATACTTAAGGTTTTTATTTCGCTTCCTTTCCTGCAAAGTTTTGTCTTGATGTAGTCGTGTTGCTATTGTTGACTCCGGTTTCAATGCGGGCTTTTCCTCAGCCATGTTATCTCTGGGCCTTTGTCTTTTTGGCCGCACTCCGAAGACACTGCCACAAGCGCTGTTAGTTTGGCCACAAAAAAATAGGTATGGTGAGGCATAGCAACTAAAACAGATGGAAAAAACCCTTAACTCATATGAAATGGGAAAATAAAACTTACTCAACTGCTGTGAACTTTTAAATACACTTTTTAGAAGCAAAGATATAGTTTTGTAAATGCCAAAAGATGGACTTACACAAAATTCAAACACACCCTTAGGCAGAGTATAAAAATAGAATCAACTTTAAGCAAAATGAGGCAATAAAGATTTATCTCGAAAGGACCGCCGCCAAAGCCAATGCAGCAGATTTGTCAAGGATTTGCGGCTGGGAATTTATTTTGGCTGTTCGCCCCACTTTTGTGTACTTTTAGCAGTCCTTCGAAAGAATAAAGCAAACAGGGTATAGTTTGCCCATTGATTTTTGAACAAAATGCAAATATATAGCTGGGTTTGTGTGCGCTGTAATCTATGATGTCGCATTCAACATGCATAAATTTTAATTAAACCAAAAATAAAACAGAGCTTGTTTGTGTATCGCTCAAAGTGAAAATTTATTTTGTTTGTTTTTTAAGGAAATGTATTTTTGTTGCCTACATTTGAGGGCGGTTTCTATGCCATTTATCAGTTCTTAACGCAGTGATGATTTCCAAACAGTAAATACTTTCTACTTTCATTTGGGCAAATTCTTGGTAGTTAAAATACATTTTTTTGGCTACTCACCTAACCAAATTGCTTTGCCCGTTTTTGCTGCACTCACAATCAGACGCATTCACAACTTGTTGAAAAAAGTTACACTAAACTATGCAAAATTTGACAGGACAGACAAAGCTGTTGGCCTGCTTAAGACATCACATAGGAAGAACTTCAGAACTTTCAGAACATTACCAATTGCAGTTGCCAACAAGAAGCATCTGGGTTGCTAAGGGCTATTAAAATCAACCAGGCCATCTTACATGAGCTGTTTGCTTGAAGACGCTTCCTTGGTTTTGTTTCCTCCTGGCAACTGAGATATCTTTTGGGCTGTCAATTATCGGTTTCCACAGCAAGATTCATTATATACTAGCGGGTAAACAAGTTTTTCCTTGACGTGCCATGTGCCACCATTCTGTCGTTTTCTTTATTTTTAAATAGTCGCGACGTGAGGCTTTGCAAAAAAAATTTGTGCGGTCGTATACATGAGTTGTTTAGTAAAAGATAAAAACGTGATTACGAAACAAAACACTCGGCTGAAGACAAACGCGTAAATATTGGGGATATTTCGTTGTGGTGCCTGCCGCCAGTGGCACCATAAATCAAAAAACCGCAGGCCTCGCTTAGGCCATGGGAAAAGTTAAACGGAGAAAATTGGGGAAAACTTTAGTTTTAATGGGCCAAGTCCCGTTTTTCCGCCAGCTTCGATCATTTGATGAAAACAAAGCGAATTCCAAACCGCTCCGACACCGAGAGTGCCGCAAACGCGTTAGGAATTATTGATGCCTCATTGCTGATTGTTCTGCGTTTACGCCATTTGACACACATCCCAAAATCTCCCAGGGTGGGCATATAATCCCAAGTCCCCAATGTTCCCCTCAAAGGCACACAGACTTGGGGCATAAAAATAAGTGAAGTTATTTGGTATGTCTAGCGTGTACTTCGCATTTCCCTTCCATCCTCATCGAGGGTCTTGTGTTATTACAGTTTTCCCAGTCCTCGCAAAAGTGACAGAAAAAATCAACGCCCATTGTCAGCATATCGAGGCTTACTCCACGTCTGCACAAAATTATTGCCAAGCTTGCCATTTCCGGGGACTCGCATTCATTGCATTAAATTGCGTTTTTGATGTTTGCGCAAAATATGATAAAACAATAAATACAGATTTGGCTGATTGTGAGGTTTGAAGTCGCACGAGTGGGAGATATTTTCAATATACAGCGGTAATAAACTTTATTTTTACCAGTCATATTTTTATTTCTAATTGTGCATGAATATTTCTTCATTATTATTTATTTTCTTAAAAGCCTTTCTTGTACTATTTTTTATTAGTGTTTTTTTGGTAAATACGACATACATAGATTGCTAATTTTTTTTATTCTACTAGTCTATTCGTTAATTTTCAGAGATTAAGCTTTATTTTTAGAAACAATGTCAGAATAAAACTAATACCTAAATTATACTTTGGTTTCTAGGCAAAAATATATAAAACTTATCAAAGTATTACAGGAATTTGGCAGATTATTTATATGCTTACTCCCCAAAGCATTTTCACACGTTGCCAACAAAAGAGGATGATTTCTCGGAAAAAAACAAACAAACATTTAAATGATTTTTATGGGTACACATTTTCACTCCCAACATTAAACTTTAATGTTGGGGTCCTTAGACTTTTTACTCTTGTGAGTATTATTGAAGACTCGTGTGTGTCCTTGTACGTAACTAATAAAAATTCATTTTGTTTATTTGCCATGGTCTTAATTTTGGTTACGGAATGTTTATTTTAAAACAGACTTTAAATTTTTCACGTATGCAAGGCTCTTTTTGGGGAACTGACTATTTCATAAGTCCGATAATTCCATTAGTTCTGCTACATGTACAAATAGATTGGTCCTGAACAAAGACTTCCATGTTGCCTTTGTGGTCCATGGAATTTAAGTGATTCACGAGTATTGCCCATTCCCTGTCCTTTGTTGGGAACTTATTTGCATTCATGTTTTTGCGCTTTTTCCGCATTGGTCAGCGCAATATCTCTCTGCCTTCAGAAATTACTTTATGGCAGGGAAGGCATTTTGGTTTTAAGATGTTTACCGAAGGGAAGTTGCAGACCAAAGTCAATGTTGGTTTGGCGATGAGTGGACGCAATTGAGCTGGACTGAGGATTGCGATTATGTGGTTCTGACTGTGTCTTCTATAACGTTTCCTTTTTGGTTTGTTTTCGGATTATTCCGGCTAAGCTCCCTTTTTCTACTCCCTATTGTTGGTTAATATTGAAATGCTCAAGTGTGCACTCGCTTTTGATTGCCATATTCAGTTTATCATTCTGTTTTCAATATTTACTTGAAGACAGTTTTTAACTTTTTTTGCGGTTTTCTCTTAAGTGGATGAGTTTTTTAAACAAATATAAAGACGGAAATGGACTTGTACAAATAAGCCATTAAATTGAGTTAAGCCACATCCTACTTGCCAATCATTTTGGTCTGTCTCTTAAAGGTGGATCACATCGAAGGACAACAAATTCATGAAATCAATTTCCATCAGGCCATTAGATTAACTTTGAATCGTCAATATCCATTGAGATTTGGTCGTTAGACTGCATTAATTTATTTTGTCGTTTGCCTTTTTTTAGCACGTGCTTCGGCATGTGTTAGCATCAAGGGAGTCGTTAAAGAGGGGTTTTAGGCAAAAAATGTAACATCCCAATAACCGAAACCCCCTGCCTGTATAAATACATTAAAGTCTTACGATAGGGGCAAAAAGCCGTTTCTCAATTGGACCCTTTTGGAAAAACAATCGGTTATATATGGACCGCGATAAAAATTATTTTCAATTGCGTAACCTTCCCGTATTCACTTTATAGCCTGACAGAACAAAAAAACGTCAATTATAAAAGAGTGAAATCTGTGTAAAACCAATTTTTCGGTCTGCAATCAGAAATCGAGGCAAGGATTTATTGCCTTTAAGCTTACTTCACGATTGTCAGGTGAATAAAAATACCTGCAGAATAACCGACAATCACGGGTATCAGGATGGTGGTGGTGGAATCCGAAAACTGGTTGCTCGCATACTTAAGTTCTTTTCCATTTGCATAAGCGTTTCCGTTGAATATTCATACACGGGGTAGAGAATTTAATAGGGGCAATTGCAGAGAGGAGCATGAGAATGAATTATATCGACAACATAGTACCAGTTCTTAAATGACATTTACTTAAAGTATATTTGGGCAACCTTAAAGATGCATGTAGGTAGTCACCTCTTTATTTATAATCATTTAGCACTTGCTTATATACTGCTAATTTATCTAAGATTTTATGGTTTTTCAACGTTCCTTTCACAGATGTATACATATGTTTATTGTTATAGAACTTTTAATATAAAAATATTTAATTCAAAATATTGTATAGATATTTTAAAATAATTTAGTTTTTTTCCGTGGCTTTTGGTTCTTGATAAGTCTTCTTAAAACACATTTTCATCTTAAGGAGTCAGTTTAGTTTTTTATTTTACAGTTTTAGCATTAAGATATGCATTTCCCTTTATAGTTTTCTTACCCCTATTTTAATGACACCATTTAATTAACATTACTTAATGTTGTGAATGCTCTTGGCCTCTTGTAAGGAATTGGCAGTGATTTTATATCGCTGAATATGCCCCTTGTTAAAGGCAATCACTAAACATCGAACTTGCGGATTGCCTTTTTGTGAAAACCCAAAGGCAAAGCAAGTGGGGAATTGTTCACCATCCGCATCGCAAGCAATGAATTCCAGCGGCAGAAGTTGTAGTCTACTAGGTCGTGCATTGACCAAAAGACAGAGCAGCACAAAGGATTGCTCCTTGAAGATGACGGCCATGTAGAGGCCCAAAGGATCCATTGCGATGGTCTGAGGCTCACCGCAATGCCTCTGCTGGCCAGAGCAGGTGGTCACATCCTGCAGATCCGCAAGCAGTTCGAGGGTCCAAACGGGTTTCGGGCAAAGGAAGACTGTGGCCTCGCCATCGTTGGTACACGAGTATATCCGAGTTGTGCCCTCCCGCACAAACAGCAAATATGAGCTGCAAATGGTCCAGACAGCCGTTTGAATGCGACTTCGCTTCAGGATCTGTTCCGACCTCCACTTCGACCTATTCAGCTGGCAGAAACTGGCGCCAGTTTGGCAGGAGCTGCAGAACAGGACCTGAAAATTGGGACTGTAGCGCAGCAGGGAAAAGGCACTCAGGCTGTCAGGTGCTGGAACCAATCGAATCTTTTGCTGGCAGTCCGTTTCCCACAGAATAATATGTGAGGAGCCCAGGGCGGCACTGATCAGGATGGTGCCGTCTTCATTCCACTGCAAGGAGGTCACATAGGAGTGCCCCTCGTCCTGGAGTATTCGCATGTGATGGTTGCCCAGCAGATGGCGAATCTTAAGGTCCATCTTGGACCGCTCACTCTCCCGCCACAAACAAATGCCAGCGGCACATCCCACGGCCAATTCGCGACTTAGGGACCAAGGACGAAAGGCGGCACAGGTGATGTCCTTTTGTTGGAAGGACTGAAGATTGGTGGGCGCACAACTCCTCTCGTCATAGAGCAGCACAATGTCCTGGTTGGTCAACAGGGCCATCAACATGCTGCTTGGATGGAACTCAATGCATCGAATGGCTGCCGTTTTCCAGCCTCTTGTTTGGCTTATCCTGTCCAAGGAAACCGGATTGGAGGAGAGTGATAACTTCAAGTTGCATATTGGCCGAAAACAAAGACTCTTGAGTTGCGTCACTTTCCTTAGAAACCATTCCCAATAATTACTGGCTAAGGTGCGCAGCAATTTCCAAATTTGTCTTCTTAGATCGGGATTATTAACATTGTTGAATCTTCTGGGTTCCAGATCCTCTCTATTTAGTTCATCCATATTTTCTTTTTTTTTTAGTAAGATTCAATATTATAAGCCTTAACTAAAGCAAGTGTCACTCTACTTTTAAGGTTGCTTATTTTTTAAAGTTTACTCCCACTTCCGATACGCCTTATTTTGTCGAAGCTAGTTTGCCTTTCTTATTTCTAGTTGCATTCCCCTTAATGGTTTTACTTGCCTTCTATCGTTTTCCACTTTTTCACACTTTATCTGGCCCGCTATTAGTTTTGATAAATGGCTTTGGCGATGCAGTTTCTGGTCAGCGCTGTCAGCAGTTTACCTCATCCCATAGCAGCGATATAAAAATATGTTTTATTTTCTTTTCTAAAAATACGCCGAGAGGATGAATGTAGTCTATGCCTTCTCCTCCTTGCAGCTTAAAATTTTAATTTAACATTTTTAAAAGGCTTTAATAATATGCAGACTATAAATTAATCGAATTTCACGTGTATAGAGTTTTTTGCAGGCAATTCGAATTGGCTTTTTATAGTCGGCTTTTTAAAATTTGATGGCCTCTTTTCAGCATGAAATAAAAACATATTTAATGGGTAAAATTATTTTAACAAAGCCTTCATTTAAACAAAACAAAATTTACAACCTTTGAAAGAAACGTTAGCAAATACACGCTTTTCACATAATTCACTCATATGAAGCAACCAAATGGAAAAAAAAGTAGGACAGCAAAATAAAATGAAATTATGCGGGTGGAAAACCATAAATTGACTTTTGGACCAACAAACAGAAAACAAAATAAAACTTTTTCCTTTTTGGGCGTTTGTATGCGCGGAATAATTCGCAAGTTTTACGGTATGCTTCTCTTTGATCTACCGCATTAATATTTTATTTCTTGTGTATATGTGCTCAGCAGACGTCTTATGTTACATGCCTGGTCTGTATGTATCTTGCAAATTGTCTTGTCAACATAAAGTATAAAATAAATAAGGAAAAAAACCCACAGAGAAACGAAACTTAGCACTCCGCAGGACCCCAAGGAGATGAGATGTGGTGGGGACAGGTTCAAATGAAGCGTAAATAAAACAAAATAGTTTGAGGCATGTCCACATTTAGTCTTCGGATAATTTCCGTCGTTTTCCACATAGTTGAGTTCTTGGTTATTAAGCTGTACGTTTGACTTTTTAACATTTGGCCTTGTTGTATGATGTTTGATATTCTTTACGCACATTTGATTTTCTAGGACCGTTAAAAACCTTTCAAAGTTTATTACAATGCCATTCAGCATGGTTGTGAAAGTTGGGAGTCATGAATCTATAATTTAGTTACTTAACAAAATGCAGGCCTAGCTTTAAATTGATTTTAAACAGCCGTCCGTCCATCTCGCCAACTCATGGACATTATCTGGACAGTTGTGGGGGATCGGACAAAGGAAAATATTTTTTATTTAGCTTTTTTTTTTAAAATAGCACCCAGCATAACAAAATAAAAGCTCAGCAGGGCTAACAAAAGCCAGGGGTTCGGATACGTATCGCCCGCATACAATTGTTCCGACATCTCTTGGTGGGCAATACGGAATGCTTTTGTTTACAAATGAAATGGAAGCTCCTTTTTATGGGCCAGCATTTTATGTGTTTATGTTTTCGACTTATGCGCCAACTGCTTGACCGTTTTATTGATTTAGTAGCATGGCAGTATCATCGGCATTTGGCCCCATCCTTTGGCCTTATTTGAACTGCTTTTATCGCACTGGCGGCGAGTGGATGATTTTCAATATTACATGAATTTTCGCAACTCCATTTGGTTTGCCCTTTGCCGCTCATTCAGCCACTTGACACTCTGCAACTGAGCATTCAATTTCATTGAATTATAGAATTCCGGGAATGTTGCTGCAAATTAATAGGCAATTAACGTCAAGGACAGCGCTGAAAGCCAGCTGGACTTAGCATACCCTTTGAATTATGGCAGCCCCTGAGATTTAATCAATAAAATGTGCGGTACAATCAACACATTACTCTACAAATGTATTTTAATATCATGTAAAAAGGTAACCTTTATATTCGCATGCCAGGCCTTAATTAAATTAACTTTTAATATAATCAATTTACTGAACGACGTTAAAATTCATTATGTTTAATAATTCATTTGGATTTTTATTAAAAGATTTAATTAAGCCTGGATTTCGACAGGTGCAATGTATTCAACTGAGTTCATCTGAAAGTTTTAATTAAAAGGTGTAACCTTTAGGCCTGATAACAGGCCTAATGTTTGACAATAAGCTACCTGATTCGTCCTAATGTAATTAGCAAACATCATTTTGTTCAAGCAAAAGCAACCAAGCTTACGTATTGAGTTTATTAGTAACCAAATAGATAACCAAACCTTGTCGAGCCCAGAGCCACACAATTTAATCCAATTGCAGTGCTTACATTAGACATTAAGCAAAGCCATAAATTCAACATATTACTGAGCGTATAAAGTACTTAACTTTGGTATACCATAGTCAAACGAGCCATAAATTTCAATAAACACTTAATAAAGTCACTATGGGGCTTCAAGCTCCAAAGGAGTTATGCAGTGGAAAAGACAGGCTTTTAGCGGCAAAATTAGTCTTTTAATCATCGTCGCCTCGTATAAATTGGTAAAATTTAACGGATAATAGTGTGTGAACCAATTCTAATAATTATAAATCAGGTGCTCAGTATACGGATTTAGCGACATTAATCCAATGTGATTGTATACAAATAGAAACCTTTTCATTAACTACACGGTCTTACTAGATTTTCTATTAATTAATTAATAATTTTTAAATCATATTAAATCTAAAATGTGTGATTTTATTGACACTATTACTTATTACCTTATTATGTCACTGCCTGGGATTGATTCGTAGTCTGAATTTAAAAATAATGGGATTAAAAATGTAAGATTAAAATTATAAACTTAAGCTACAGAAGGGAATAAACATTAAACATCAATGTACAAGTTATCTTTCTTTAATAAAGCTTATTTTATCTTTAGGGTTTAGTCTATATGTATATAAATAAATCTTTATCAATAGGTATAAGTTCGTTATGTATAATATTCGTTGTTTTATGAACTCTAAGTCTTTTAATGAAAGTTTATTTTCGTGCTTAAATAGTTAAAAAAAATTGTCGTTAAAGACAGATGTTTTTTCATTGAATAACGTACGTGCAATTTAGTATCCTTTCAAGCAACTCCATAGATGCGTACTGCGACTTGTTGTGAATACCACTCGTCACATAAATGAAATTCAAGGGTTGAATTCAGGACATAAATTTATTCATTTAAACAGACATGGTGCTCTAATTATGCATAAAGCTTGGAAAGAAACCAAAGAAATATTCTTATATAAAAGACTGCAGAAGTAGAGTTGGGTAAATTCCTACATGGGATAAGTAAGTGAGTAATATTCTGGTAGATAGTTCTTCATTATTTTAAATGGCATGGCCGTCACATTATTCTCTTAGTCAACAAAATCACCAATTATCTAAATGCAGGAAGAGTTCTGGTTTCGGTGTAGCTGAAGCATAAATTATGACTTGGACTACTTTCCGTGCATTGCGTATAAATCAGAAGGCATGAAGAAAATACGCATAACCAACATAAAGCATTGCCTACTGTTTTTTATGAGCCGAAAGTTTGACGGGCATACAATAATTTATTAGGAAAGTCAGCGAATTGTAAAAGACTCGACCAGAAACCGGCACCGCCAGATTGCCAGGCCCAAGAAAACGGAATGTAGCATTCAAATTTCAAAAGGCAATCTTACTTTTGGCCCTCTGGTTCTGTGGGCTGCGTCAAAATTTCACCGCGCTCCATGTCAGTGGTAACTCAATTAGAAAATTTAATTACGCCGCAAGGCAGGCGCCAGGAAGCGTTTTTATACACATTTTCATACAATTTGAAAAGCATGTGGAAATTAACTTTATTATACTCACGATATGTGTGTGCAAGGAAATGCTCCAGCCAGATTGTTTTAAAAACAGGAAAATGACGGAAACTCAAATATGGATAAAGTTTTCTTCCCTTTTGCGATAAATAAATACCCATCGCAGGGATATAAAGTGACGGCACCTTTAATTAAAAATCGCAGAGTTTAAACAAGCATAGCGCTCCACATAATTTGCATTGGTTAACAAAACTTTTTGGGCTGAGGAATGCATAAAACAATCCCAACACCAATTTACCTTATCAATCAGCCGTCCAAAATGGGTTGGGAAATGGGTGTTTTTGACGCTTAATCAAGCGCTAAGTCCACAGAAATCCCCGAAAACGACCCTTTTGGCAAGTTTCGTGAGACCGTTTACCTTCACCTTCGCTTTGGCAACCTTTGACCTTCCGGGTGGGTCGATGGCTCGATGGCTATCTAGCAAGTTTTTCGCTTTTGTGGCGGTAATTTGTTGTTACACGTGGTCGACCTGCCGTTTGCTTTTTGGTGCTTAAATGGGGCGCATCATTAGTTGCTAGACGTTGATTTTCAGTCTCCCTTCTTAGCTCGCGATTTATTATTAATTGGCCACCAAAGAAAGTTTTCCGCCTATTTGTTTTACAAGTTTTTCTTCGAAGCCCTTGTGCCTTGGCCCAAGTATTTCAATTATTAACACTTGTGCGTCCTGCTACGTTTCACTAAATAATTCAATGTTCGGGTTTTACTGTTACTCTTTTCATAAATATTGAATAAATATTTTCTATTTAATTAAAACTTTATCCTTTTCAATTGTGTGCCGGCTTCTTCGGTCCTAAAATCGTGGCTGATGCCTAGCAGTCTAAGGACTTAAAAATTGATTTGGTATTCAATTTGCTGGCACTTTGTGGCATTTTAAACTGGATTGTCGAGCGCTTAGCCGGTAGAATGCCTTTGTCGTTTAAAAATACTATTAAAAATACATGAATCAGCAAGCTTTGCAAAACATTTTTTATGCGCATAAGTAAATACGTGGACATATGGAAAAAATGGTTTTATGCAAACCTGAACAATAGATCTTTAATTAGAATTATGTATTGATAAATTAATCATAATCCGA